TTTAATGAGTGCACTGTGTGAGTTTCAATGTTGAAACAGGTGCGACGGTGGAGATTTGGTCTCCGTGATACTTTTGGCTTCCTCGTAGATTTTTGTGCTTTCTCTTAACAGTAGCACTGTATCACTCGAATCAACCTATCTCACTCAATTCTTGATTTAGAAGCTTGCACTGATAACTCAGAGTTGCGGCTAGATGTCCTCTTCGATTATGTATGGACCTCTCGCTTGCAATGCCTGTGTTCGCGACTTATCTTGATCGCCGTTCGATGAGTTCTGCTCTTTATGATGAGACAGGATGAAAATCACGCGCGATGACACGTATGACGTAATCGACTGTAAATCTCGCAATACAGCCGGATTTACTTGCTTCCAGCACGGAACTTGTGTTGTCTTCTTTTCTCTTTCAACGTGGTATGGCTTGGATGCTGTAGTTCCGGCCGATAACTGACAGTTGATCTTCCGTAACGTCGAAATGGGAATGAAGATTGGAATCTTCCCGCGCACGCAGCACTCTTTCCTGTTAGAGCTGTTTGGTATCCTTTATAGTGTGGCTAGAGTCTGATTCTTTGCACCTCTGCTCTGTTGCATGTAGTTAACTCAATACACTTTACAGTCAATTCAACTTGATGTTTACCTTGATATCGATCTCGAATCGTAGTAGTAACTCGAGATGGCCTTTTGCTTTCAGTGTAGTAGTAATACTGCAGCTTATGGGGAGTAATTTGGTTTTTTAGATTATGCTGAAAAGCAAAGTGAGGATTTTCTGGTGGTGCATAGCAATTTTTGTGATTGAATTGGATATAAGGACCCCCCGTAGCACTTTAGACCTAAAACTCCCTTGGTTCCTTGCATGATGAATTCACATGCGAACCGGACTAATATGTTAATACACGAGTCAATAGTAAAGAGGTGTCAGGTATGTTTCCTCCAACACTTGGCAAACCTGCTTTAAGTCAGCTTGTTCTTATTTCGCATCAAGAATCTTCTTGAGACGATCTGCACTGTCATCAACGGCGTAGGATCAGGAATGAAGAAGTTCTCTTCTCGTTGGTGTCGCTATCTTCATAGGAATCATAGAATGCCGTCCCATTCACTGACATGGTAGTGAAATCGAACTTAAAGCCTAAGTCAGAGAGAATTTCTCGACCTATGATATGCATAATACGCCCCCAAGCTCTTGGTGACGTGTAAATCCATTCGATAATTCTATCATCGTGGAATTCAGGAATCATGTATGCACCTTTGCACTTCGTGCTGGTTGTTAATTCTCCTGCAGGGTAGTCCACATGTTTGGACGCCCCCAAGATCCTTCATGCGTAATTTCTTAGCATGAGTTTGAGCAATCAAGTTCCGGATGCTCCTGTATCCAGTAAGCAACGGAGTTAACGGGTTTGTTTCCCTTTTTCTCGCTTGTTAAATCTAACATAGACGATAGGTTTGAGGTCTCTTGTTTGCGCGTTTACGAGGTGGTTGGCCACGGACGAGGTTAACAATGCTAAATAGATCATCAGAGTCTAGTTGAGCAGCTTCTAGGCAATCATCTAATTTGCCGTAGAGTTCATCGGTTGCAAACAATTCTTGTTTACTATAGTTAGTGAGATATCTTCATCACTTTGGTATGAGAAATCGGAACATGGTTCCGTTGAGTCATCATCCTGGCCTAATCCTCAGATGGAGATTTCTCCATCCAAGTGATTGAAATCGATAGAGGAGTTGTCCTCGTTATCAGAGTCTTCTGATTTGCGCTTGGCAACATGGTTGCGAAGTTTGCAGGTGGTTGCACGAGTATCGTCGATCTCGGTGTCTTCGTCATTGTCGACGGGAGGAAGAATGGGTTTGTCACGCAACTGTTTCTCGAAGTTGCTGAACGCATGCTTTCCTTGAGCCATCTTCATGGTGAAGGAATAGGTTGAGGGTAGCTGAAAGCTATTGTGTTTGTTAACAAAATGCACTACGCTAAAAGCTAGTGTAAAGATCTTTCGAGTGTTTTGAGTTTGAGAGAATGAAAGTTATGAGAGAGATTAGAAAGCTATGAAAACTAATCAACGAGAGAGATCATCATCAAGGGATCGTAGATCTGGTCTCCCGCGGGAGACTATAAAGTGTGATAGAGTAGGTTGCGGTAGTAATCCTACGTATCTCCACGATCCTAAAACGGAACGCGTGGAAGATTTGTCTAGCATGGATCTAGTAGCGTGGAAGTACTCCACGCTGGCTAAATATCTAGAGCGATGTTTCATCATCAACCTAGTATGACTAGAGCGGTCATTGAGAACCCTGTCTCAAATGACTATTCACGAGAGACTCAGTCATGAGTCGAACTCAAACCCCATCTAGGATCGAGTCGCGAATAAGGCTAAGAGCCGTGTATTGCAGTACAGTACTTGCTGGGGCATGCTGCCTGTCGTTTGGCAACTCCCCGTGAGCCAATGTGGAAACTGGGTGACACCTAGAGCTTGCGGTAGCCAGCTCTATGCTCTCCCCATCACCTAGTGATGCATTGGGAGTACCAGCTAGGGCAACTGGTGGCATCGTAGAGGCAACCAAGGGAGGGGCATTGAGCAGCTGGTTGTTGTTGGCTGTGGCTTGCAAAGGACAAGTGACAGGCAAGAACTCACCACTGTCTTGATTCGAAGACGGGTGGTTGGCCCCAGAAGCGGCTGCTTTCTGCCTGTTGTGGTTGGTAGCTAAAGACACTTGCTGGTGGAGGTCCTGGGGATGGCCAACAGTCTTGTTGGTGGCATAGAGAGCCTCAGCCAGTCTTCTCCTGATGGTGGAATCCGACATTGTTGTTGCTTTCACTTCGATAGTACTGGTGGAACACTGGATCCTAGCTCTTTTGTAGCAGTAAATAAGGCTTGACTGTATGTAGCTGGAAGAATACAAAGAGCACTTCTTGGGGCCTTTGTAGGGGCCTAGGAAATTCAATCAAATATGAACTTGAATAAGGTAGACCAAGTACAAGATGTAGAACCTGCCTATCGCGAAAAGCACAAGGAAAAGACCGCACGAACGATCGATCAATCGTTCGATCGTTCAACAAATAACACAGCTCCAGCCAAACCAACGGCATACAGCAGTAGTAGCAGTAGCTGTAGTAGCAGCAGTGGCAGTAGCGTAGTAGCTAGTAGTAGCCGTCGCCGTTCGAAAAAAAAATACCATTGTCCTCTTCCTTTGGTGGCTGCTCAGGGCAATGAGTGGTTGGCTCCTAGCTAGAACTATCTGCAGTGGCAGCCAGTCTAATTGGAGCATGTGTGCTACCGCATTGCTCTGCTTAGAGTCATTGCTACAGATGTCAATTCTCTTTTTGATTTTTTGATGCTTTTTTTTACTCAAGCAACATTGATCAATATTGATCAAATTGATGAACATTGACAAATTGACGTTTTGACACAATTGACAGACAAGTACCGAATACTGTACCAAGTAACAGTTGCAATCGAGTTAATCAGAGTAGTAGTAGTAGGGTACCGGTACTGATACCAGGTAGTAGTTGCCGCAATGATTGGATGCATGATGTACAGATATGCATATATGTACTGGTAGTAGCCTCTGGTACTACCATATCACTTGCAAGAGTAGTCGTTTCATTACAGGTAGTGTCCAGCGATCCTCATGGTCGATCCGCGAAGATGCTCATTGGAAGAAGCTCACTGAGGCTATTTCCGGCGTATCTAGACAAAAGGAACCTCGAGCCAACTGACCATACCATACAGCAGCATCCCACAAGTAGACTATGCTAGCCAGTAACAGTTGCAATGGAATTGTAAAAGTAGTCGTAGTTATGTCTACCCGGTATTGTCACGAACTGCTCATGCACTCCACTGGCTTTGTCACCGTCACTTCGCTTTGTCGTTTGTCGCAACTGACTGCCATAGAGTCACAACTGCCATGGAGTCGTCGTCAACAATCCATCCGTCGACCGATGAGACTGCTCCTGCGGCTGTTTCCATTGTCGCGGCCGTGTGCCAATGTCAAGGATCAATGATTGATGTCAAAATGTCAAAATTGATTCAAAGAAAACTGTCAATATCCAATTGAGGATTTTTTGAGTCAATCAGAGTCAATCAAAGTCAAAATTGATCAATGTTGATCAATGTTGATCAATTTGATATTTTGATGTCAACACTGACAAATTGATTCTTGTTGACATCAATTCATCAAATTGATCAACATTGACAAATTGATGGTTTTGAGTCTTGTCAAAAGTGTCAGTAGCCATCAATTGACAATATTGACATCAAAATGTCAATTTGATTTCAAATGCCTCATTTCCCGATACTCCAGAGGTCCTGCCAAATGAAGAGAGTTTTGCCTCCTGGCGCCACTTCCCAAGCATTCTAGTGTTGACAACGCTACAGTATTCAGTTTTTTTTGCAAAAACTCAAATATAGTAGCTACTAATAAGCTCGTGGACAATCTATGACCATACTTTTGAAGTCAATAAAATAAGCTATTGTATGTGCCGTACCAAGGTACCACAAACCAGCTCACCAACCACAAGTACTGGTATCTACTTGAGAATTGAAAATCTTGGAGACAAGGGAGGAGGGAGGCAACAATGAGTAGCACAATGACCCTAAACACTAAAGGATTTAAAACCGAGTCTCGGATTCAATTCACCTCCAGGAAAAGAATTAAAAGCAAGTATTTCTCTTTCTATTATGTCGTTCAGCTGTCTTCTCACTGAAACTCTTCTCGTGTTAAATGTATTTCTTTGGTCATTGTTCTGGCGAAAGATTACCGTACCGCTCAGACCCACAAACGATCTTCCGTCCCCACCCCAAGAACAAACTTCTTCTTCAAACCAAAGAGCAACTCAGAGACACGAGCTCTATCATGGCATTCAATCAATCCATTTCTGCAACCTGCGTTACAGGTACGGTAGAAAGGTAGGTACCGTAGAGTCGAATGGACCAGAGGGCAAACATCGTTGGAAAATGGCTTTCTCCATCCGATCAGCCTCATCGTCGCCGTGGTCCTGGTGGTGGGCGATGGCGATGTTCATTTTGGTGTTCTTGCTGGCAATCGCCCAAGCCAATACTAATGATAATAACAGTAGTGTATCACCTATGGCCACTGCATGCATGGCTCATAAAGGCCCCATTCCGCCCGACCTTACTTTGCGTGTTGGATTGTTTCAGAATCCGCCAGTCAGTTTTGTGTCCAAGGAGAACGAAGGAATTCAGTTTAGGGGCTTTTATGTGGAGCTTCTGGAAAGCTTGCAAGTATTTGCCACGGCGGACAACGTTACGTTGCAATTCGAGTTGAAGGAAGTGACCTCCAGTTACAACGATGCATTCAGTATGGTGGCGAACGACTGCAAAGAAGTGTTTTCGGCGTCTTTGGGAGAACGTGAGGGGGATTATTGGGACGAAGACGACGACAAATGCAACAGATATGATGTAATTGCTGGCAGCTTTTATGCCACTGCCGATCGGGCTCTGCGAGCTCATTTGACACCATCAATACTGAAGGACAGCGTCAACACGGTCAAGTTCCTGGGAACGGACGAGCATCAAAGCCCCTCCATTACAACCATGAAGGAAGCTAGTAGAGCCAATGCACCTGTCTGTGTCAGGGGTGGGACTTATTTTGCCCAAGTAGTACAAGGAAAGTTTCCCGATTTGAACTATTATTGGTGTGACTCCAACCTTGCATGTGTGGCAGATCTGAAACAAGGAAAATGCGTCTTGAATGTGGCTGGGGAACTCGGATTAAGATACCTTGCCGCGTGGGACGATGCCTTGGAAGTGACGGGAGAAGCGTTGAGTACGACCTTTATCGTATGGCCAACCCGGGATACTTTGCCACCAATGGTGCTGAGAGCCATGGATCGATGGATCTTGGCGGCCCTCAATAATGGTACAATGGATGCCTTGTACTCCAAGTATTTCCAAAAGGCGCTCTGTCCTGTAGGGACAGCCGGGGAACAATGTGAATTGCCTTGCGATCCAAACCATGGCCAGGCGGATGGTGTGTACCTTCAGTTTTGCTGCATTGGTTGTTGCCGGTCTTCCTCACTCTCACTGCCTCTGTTGCATATTTCTTCATTCTCCAGGGCGAGGTATCTGTGTTTGCGAATCGTCAAAATGGACGGGTGACGACTGTTCCGTCGAACTAGAAGAAGACACCAACATGGTGCCACTGGCGTTCAAAGTGATAGCACTGTGTATGGTGGCAATCAATGGGCTGGTCATTCTTCTCTGCGCCGTTTGGTTGTGTGTATACCGGAACAGCCCACAAGTACGATACGCCCAGCCCTTCTTCCTTTTGTTGGTCTTGCTCGGATGTGCTATCAGTTCTTCGACAATCCTTGCGCTCCTGCAAGAAGACTCCCCCGGCGGTGACAAACCGAGTTGCATGAGCATTCCCTGGCTGTACAGTGTCGGCTTTGCCATCACATTTGGAACGCTCTGTGCCAAGGTCCTTCGTGTGTACATGGTTTTTGCGACAGGAAGTAGACGTACCAACAATCAGAGGAGAGCTCACTTTGTGTCATTTCATGCAACACTCCTTGTTATTGGTGGGGTGCTTTTGGTGGACGTAGCAATCTTGGTGTCTTGGACACTCATTGATCCGTTGGTTTGGGTGAGAACAGTGACTGTTGCGGATCAATTTGGCCAACCTCTGGCGAGTCATGGTTACTGCACTTCTGATTCCTGGAAGCTATTTGCTTGTCTGATTGGGGTGTTCCATTTGGGTTTGATGGCCGTTGCTTGTTACCTAAGTTATATTGCGCGAGGAATTCCTTCCAGATTCAATCAATCAAAGTATGTGGCAATTGCCATGGTATCCAACCTTCAGGTATGATATTGAGGTGTAGCTATTATGGTGTGCTGTATCAGGTCTGTTGTCCCTGAGCCTTTTCAACTCCACCTGTCCAAGCAGATCTTTGTGGTTGGTGTCCCGGTCTTGGTGATCCTCGGGACCGAGACCCAAACAAGCTTCTTCGTGCGGAGTTGTATCGTTTGGATGAATGACTTGATGGTTGTGTCTTTGATCTTTGGAAACTTGATGTATAGTGTTTACTACTCTTCCCCAGAGAATGATGGCACAGATGCTGTCCAAATGGATATCAGAAGGGCTGTAGGCAAGCTAGCTGGTTCCAGTGTACAACAAATGGCTCCTGGTTCCAGTGTACAAAGTGTACAACAAATGTTCTCCCAACGCCCAATCAACATTGAATCAGCATCTACCGGTACTGTTGAGATCAGTTCTCGCACACGCGCACTGGATGCCTATCAGGCAATGTATGGTAGCAAAAATCTGCCGGATGTATCAAGTCTCACAATGCAATCATCTTTCACTGCACTGGATGGAAAGGGAGAGACAACTGCTGTCCCTCTGGTGCTCCCCGCCCTGCCGGAAGATGGTACTGGAGATTGGTCATTGCGATGCATTCCTATGCCTGCGGCTTTCAGGAACTCTGCAAACTCCAAGACCGGCCTTGTCAAGCCAGAGAGGCAGGACACTCTAGTGGAGGACATGGAGGACACAGAGGACAAAAAGCAGCCAGAGTGTGGACGTAGGGTATCAATGGATTCAAAGACTGGCCTCATTAAACCAGAGAGAAAGGAAGCAGATGTGGAAGACATCAAACCAGAGCATGGGAGAAGGGCGCCAATAGACTCCTGCCTTGTCAAGCCAGAGAGGAAGGTGACTGCAACCTCGGACACTGAGGATCCAGAATGTGGACAAAGTAAAGCATCCGTGCAAATTGAAGCCACTCCAAAGGCTCCAGTTGAACTTTCTTCAGTTCTTCAATTCTAGACTGATCCGAGAGGGCCAAACGGAGGAAACGCCAGTTGTGAGCCAAGAAGTGTTGGTACTGGTAGCTTGGTTCTAAACAGGGTCTGCTGGCCTAGTCAAGGCATGACAATGACAATCTCAAGCGAGCCGGCTTAGCCTAAGGATCCAGCTTGCGGATAGGCAGAAGGACTAGGCCAACTTTGATCAACGCTGTTGGGGAAGGCGCTTTGCAGACGAAGAATGCTTTGAGTTGATGTTCGAAAGATGCTAAAGGTGTAACCTTCAGGCAGGTGTCGTGACGTTACCTGCCTCCGTGTGCATCCATGACGCACATTGTTGTCCTGAGCCCAGTGCCACCAGAACCATGCCCTGCCAATTGACATCAATATCTGCTACAAACAGCAGTGCGCAACCAACATCGCACCAAGGACACCCCCACGAATATGAGAATATTTAGCAGCCAAGCGGATGGACTGAGTCGAGTCACTCAAGGCAACAAAGGACTCACTCTAACGTAACATTAAATTTTGTTGGGAAGCACCACGGCGTCATCACGCTGATGGATCCATGGAGTCACATACGTCGACAAAGGTGTGATGGAGGACATTGTTGCTGTTCTGGGGCATGTTGGTTGTTGAGGGGCCGAGTGCTACTGTTCTTGTAGGTCAAAAATTTATAGTCTTGTTTGCTACTACCGAATGTACTGTGACCATTGTGGGAGCACACCTTCCGAGACGTAACTAACGTAGCCTTCTGGCAACTTGATCGATGGGGCCGAACCATCCCACAAGTTCCATGGAGTTGGCAAGACGTGAGCGTGTCTTACCGGTTCTCCCGTCAAGCTGCAGTTCTCGACGACGACTTTGCGTGCTGGTTCTTCCAAAAAAGCCAAGTCCAATGGCGTGATACCGTCTCCCTTGACACCAAGCTTTCCCATGAGTGGAAGATAGGAGGATGCTGCCACCAGTTCTTCTGGATTGGCCGACAAAAAGCTGCCATCCACACCGGCACTACCCACACAGGTCACATCAATGCCTAGATCTGCCAGAGCCTGTGGCGAACAGGAAGGGGTATTTTCAATCTCTCGCAAGAGACCTCTAGTTTGATCAACCAGTGCCTCTTCGGGTGACGAGTGGGGAGTCCCCAAGGTGATCAAGGAGGAGCATTGCTCTAGAGTACGTTGAAACACAGCAGTCGAAGATCTGAAAACGACCAATGACAAAAGTGATGAGTTGCGTCGGCCCAAACAATGAGAATTTTCCAACAAGAATGAATCCTCACCCTGCAAGACCTCCTAGATATCCCCGCGCTACCCATCCACCAATGGAATGAGCAATGATGCAGACTTTGGTGTCGGCTCCTTCAATCGCATATATTTCCGACAGTGCCTGTTCAATGGCATCAAAGTACCATCCCAAGGTTGTCTTGGCCGACAAGGTTGCTTCCAAAAAGTTTCGTGTGGGCAGCTGCCGTGCTACTTTGATCCATTCTGTGCGAGGCAATGGGGCCACACGGCAGGTTCCAATTTCCGGTAATTGCAGTCCCTTGTCAATATTGGCGCGACGAGTGGTTTGGAGGTTGTCAAACAGTTCCTCATAGTCTACCGGGACGCAGAATTGAGCGGGACAGAGAAGAACGGATATCTTTTGGTTGGAGCTACTTGTGGTAGTGGTAGTGTCATCGCTCGTGGAAGCTTGTTCTGTATCTGCAGAAAACAGTGGTCCTTGCACAGATTTGGATGGCAATGACGCTGAATGGAACGATACAACATGCACCGAAGAGGCCAACAATGCCAGGAGAGTCACGAGAAAGTGGCGCATGTTTGGCTACCTGTAGTTGAGGAGGCTGATTGTATTCGTTTCTCTGGGAAAAGCTGCCGCTGTTTTTGTGCTTCCCACTGCATGATGAGCGTTCCATCTGCATCGTCATCGTCGGCCATGGTCGACGGTGGCAAAAGAGGCAGGAAACAGAAAAGCAACACGTACGAATCCCGCGAGAATTCATGACTCGGGTTTGGGGATCGAACGAATTCGATCGTCGAGTTTACCGAACGAATTGAATTCAAGTTTCAAGCAAATGGATCTTTGGATCCAAAACATCGCTGATGAGGCTTCTGTCGACACTGCTTCTTCTGTCCAAGGCTACCGGTATGCTAGCTAGTACCATACTTTGGGGCGCCTCAAGTTTGTAGTTGATGCATACATGATCCATGCTCTTTCCGTGCTGCATCTTCCTCAATGCTCTAGTTCTATGGATCTTCGGCGGGACGAGAATCTCGTTTGTGGAAAGTTTTACCCGGTCTTTCCACTTCTCTAGTCTGGTGCAGCGTCCCACAGCAGGTCCAATATCCACAGTGCGCCTCTTTGCCGCCAATAATGACAAGAAGGAGCGAGTCGCCATTGTGGGAGGTGGAATCAGTGGAACTGTCGTGGGTCACGTGTTGCAGCAATCGGGTCGCTACCATGTCACTCTGTTGGAATCCAGTGACAAGTTGGGAGGTCACATTCGCACTATTTCCGACCCCGAGAACAACAACAACAACAACAACAACAACAACAACAACAACAACAACAACAACAACAAGCTGCTCAATGTGGGCCATGCCACGCACATGGGCATGTTTGTCAATCTTCGATTGATGATCCAACACTTTGGGCTGGCGGAATGGCCCGTGGGAAACGGTCCCAACGAACAGCCTGGGCTCTTTCGCATGTTGAGCACTGCCATTCCCAACAATAACAATCCACGAAACCAGCAGCCAATGATGGGAAAGAGGGTACAGCCCAGCTTGCAACATGACATTTTGAATCCTCTCATGTGGTGGGAAGCTTTTTGGTTTTACTTGGCGTCCTACCAAGCGCCACAAGTCTCCCTGGAAGATTACCTCTTGTCATCTTCCTACTCGAACCAGTTTCTCAATATCTTGTACTGGGCCATGGCAACCTTTGAATTTGACAAGACCCAACAAGATGCCAAGCGATACACACTGGGAACGGCCCGGGCATTGCTCATTACCCAAGTCTTTTTCCAGTTTCTCTTGTGCGATGCCTTTCAGGGATCCTTGCCTCAAAAGATTGACAGCGGGTTGCAACAGGATTTGGCACTGCGGATCGAGCAGCAGCAGCATGGCGCTCACAACAATGTACAAGAACTACAACAATGCTTTTACAACTTGACCACCAATGCTCCGTTGGCATCGTATTTTACCACGGACTACAATGCTCTGATGGAGCGATTGGCAAACGGCATTGGTAGTGTGCAGACCAATGCCACCGTGACGTGCATTGGCAAAAGAAAACGTGGTGGTCCCAATGACACCCTGACCATCAAAATGACAAACAACAACGAGTTCTTGGAGGTGGATCATGTCGTTCTCACAACTCATCCAGCCATTGCCGCCAAGATGTTGAACCCTGCCGATTTTGATCGGCATCATGCAGCTTTGCACGCCATGTCCATGCCACAAGCAACAGGGGCAGTGGGAGTACACATTATTCAAGCGCAACACTTGCCGTTTCGGTATCCACCGCCCAAGGAACTAGAAACAGTTCCCTATTCTTCCTCCTCGCCACCTGGAATTCTAGGCATCTTTGACATCTCTCAGTTGACGAGAGATGCTGATACGGGAGAATCGGCAGCAGATGACTTGCCACCAGCCAGCGAAAACGATTGTGGCGGTTGGTTGTCCGTGGCCTACCCTGTATCAGCGCACAATACTAATACTAGTACGAAGAATGCCAACCCGCATGAAGAGTGGCTGGATTCCATTCCGTCGACGGATTCAAGAATCTATCCTTGGACCAAGGCAACTCCATCCTTTTTCCAGCTACAACAAGAGTTGAAACAATTGCAAGGAACACATGGGGTACACGTTATTGGACAAGCCTTTACGGGCGTCAACAAGGCCTCGGAACTCCAAGTGACCAATGCCTTGCGGCTTTGTCATGGTCATTTTGGAGTAACCGAACCGCCGTGGCGATACTCGTTTTTGTACCCCATGTTGCCCGACTGCAACGATGCCGATGCTTCGTACCAGGCCAAATCGTTGGTGGAAGCCGTGCAACTAGCATTCAAGAGTTTGGTGGGGTCCTTTCTCTTGACGGCGGCTGTTCAGAAACTAGGGACCGAGTTCTTTGATGAATAATGTCTGGTTTGGCAGAGATCAGCAGCTACCGTACTTCAAATTTGAGCACTTTGGCTAAGCATTTCAACCACGCGAACTGTCATTAAAGGAGCTGAACAAGACTTCCACGAAGCAGGATCTTCCAGTTTGTCCATAAGCATCGTTCACATCGGCACGTTCCGCTAGTTGAAATTTGACCATTTGCTGGCCACCATTGGTGCAGGCATTCAAGTAATCTAAAGCCGACCAACCGTACCACGTTGACGGGATGTGACTTCAGTCTTTCCTTCGGCCAAGAATAACTTTGCCATTTCAATCTCTTCATCACGGGCAGCTGGATGTATTGGATAGCATTTGGATGCACAAGTATTGCCGTTGGGGTCAGCTCCATTCTCAAGCAGTTTGCCAATGGGAAGATTCTTGTCATCCTTGCAACATAAGGGAGCAAGGAGAGGGGTTTTACGATCTCTGACAGCTTCCAGTTCACCCACGGGCCCAGCTACGTGAACTTGGAAGTGAGTGCCTTGACTGCTTCTAGCTAGATCTCACTTGCCACTTTCATCCAGCAACTTTAAAAATTCATTGGCTGACATCCCAGCTATGCATAGTAGCTAGCTAGCTAGCTAGCTAGCTGACATTCCGATAATAATTGGACAAAGGGGGTGATCCTGTTTTTTCTGTGACAACATCATTGCTCTGGAAGGTCCGTCCCAAGCCAGCAAAGCAGGAGATCCAACCTGATTTCGGAAGCCGAGGAATGAACTTCGAAAGATACCAAAGGCCCTATACCGCTACCGATAATAAGCAAGATGGACCCGTTGCAATGTACTAGTACGTGGCTGATGTTTGGATCCGCGTCAAAGCACCCCATCAACAGAGATAGATAGTGCCATCGTCAAGATTCCAATCAGGAGTGTCAACCAAGTGGGTTCAACGCGCTGTTCCTGTCAAGCATGGTCCGAAGCACTCGATATCTACTGAATTTGGCCTTTTCGCACATCGATTGGTTGCCTACTACCTCGTCATCGTCGTCGGCATCCTTGAGATCACTGTGTGACCAAGCCAAGGTTTCCAAATTGGCATTTCTGCGGCATGGAAAGACGGGACCAAAACCCGATGGTGGCATTGACTTTGATCGGTTCTTGACCGATCTCGGCCAGAATCAGGCGAAAGAAGCTGGATCATCCTTTGGACGACAACTCGCGCCTTTTTACTCGCAAGCATTGGTGTCTCCAGCACCGCGGACGGTTGAAACGGCAGAGCTATTTCTCGAGTCTGCCAATCAAAAATGTCACATTCAGACCTCCCAAGTTTTGTACGATGGTACCATGCAACCAGAAGGATCTGTGCTCTTTCAAAAGATTGGCTATGCACCGTTGTCCGACTATGTTGATAGCGAAGACCAAAATGACAGAGCAGTATCACGAAAGGTTCTTGGAGAATATTCCAGTGCAGCCATTGATGCCATTTCGGAAACGCTCAAAACAGGTGCTGGCCAACAAGAAGATTCTACCCTCTTGGTTGTCGGGCATGCCATTTATCTGCCAGCCGCGGCCTTGGGCGTAGCGTCGTTGGTCGATTGCCAACCGGAAGGCTTGGAAACAATTCTTTCCTGCAACACTCAAGAGGCTGAGGGGTATCTGATAGATCTCGAATCCTCCCAGGCAACTTACTTGTCCCGGCCTTCTTCTCTCGTGTAACTTTCGACGAACATTTAGACTAGGTATAGCTCCAGACAACAACGTCCCTGGTAGATGGTAAGGTTCCTCTACTAGCAGCAAACTACTAGCTAGCAAAAGTTGGCAGTAGTGCTGGAGAAGCAATCACCTGATCTGCAGTTTCTAGCTTTTTGTCTCTAAAATGGTCAGGGATTCATTCCCCTGTTGCTTGCCACTGATGAAGAACCTCTCCCACTTTGCTTGATCCTTCCTGAGTTTGGATCTCAAGCAACACTGCTTTCAGTCGGGAGGTAGGGGGCCATTTCTATTTAGCCATCATGTCTACCGGTATGTCTTGGGGGTGGGCAAACGCTAGCTAGCTCTCCCTCCGCGATAACAGCTATGCAGCGATCAGCGATGAAACGCTCCATCTATCTTTAGCCAAGCAAGTTTCAGACTAGCTAGCTCAGGGATCCTCTCGGTTCTGTCCAAGGGTGTTTCCCATGCAAGCAACTGCTTCGGACAGCTAGATCTACATGTGCGCTAGTTGTCAAGGCAGCAACCAGCTACTCGAGTAGCTTTCTGCAAATGATTGCAAACGTCGTGGTTGGAGCGGCAGCTAGCTAGTACGCACATCCCACGAAATGCTGTTTCTAGCTTCAGCACTAGCCAGCTAGTTCGTACTTAAAAAAAGGCACTCACATCAATCCTACTTTGCTTCCTCTCGCTCCTACTGTACGCTGAAAGCAAGAAGAAATAAGATCTAAAAGAAAGGGTACATTCGTGCTTAGCCGTAACAACATCTGAGTAATGTATATGTGTTTTAGTTAACCAAGCGATGTGAGTGGAGATTTAGACAGAAGCGCAAAACACAGATGTTTGGCTTTGTACACGTTGAGCACCAGCACCCGATGGCAAGTGGTTGCCGACTGGATGGAAACATGCACAAAACCGTTTTGTTTATAGGCTAAGTTCGTTTGTTTACTCCAGAGCCTGGGCACCGGCAACAATCTCCAAAATTTCTTGGGTGACAGCCGCTTGACGGGCACGATTGTACTGCAAACTCAAGTTCTTGGCGAGCTCTCCAGCGTTGTCACTAGCACTTTGCATGGACTGCATACGGGCGGCAAGTTCAGAGGCAACCGACTCCTGAAGAGTACGGAGGATTTGTCCGTTCAAGTACAGGGGAAGGATGGAGTTGACAATTTGAAGAGGGTCTTGCTCGAAGATCATGTCGTTGGGGAACTCCTGGGGTTCAGCAACATCCAATTCAGTGCGCTCAACACCGAATTGTCCTTCTTCGGAGGTGAGTTGGAAGACCTCATCGCCCTTGGTGGTGATCTCACTGGCAGAGAAAGGAACCAAAGTACGAACACTGGGTTCAGAGGCGATCAAGGAGACGAACTTGGTGTAAAGAAGTTCGATAGCATCACTCTCTCCGGAAAGGAAGGTGTTGAGGAGTTCTTCAGAGATTTCGAGGGCTTGCTTGGCGTTGGGGTTCTGTCCAGTCTCGAAAGTCCTGCGGATGGGGAACTTGCGACGTTCGAAGTAGGTGATTCCCTTCTTTCCGACAAGGACCAAATCGACTTCAACGCCTGATGCAGTGAGTTCATTGAAACGGTTCTCGGTCTTTTTGATCATGAAAGAGTTGTAACCACCGCACAGACCACGATCTCCTGTGATACAGCAAAGGGTGACCTTGTTGACCTCACGTTGTGTCAACAGAGGCAGATCCATGGCTTCTCCTCCCAAACGTTGGATCAAACCTCCGAAGACAGATTGAAGAGTCTCACTGAAGGGACGGGTGGCAAGGACAGCATCCTGGGCACGACGGACCTTAGCAGCAGCGACAAGCTTCATGGCCATGGTGATCTTTCGTGTGTTCTTCACAGTGGCGATACGATCACGGATAGCTAGCAGAGGAAGTATTAACCGAAAAGCAGGCAACAGATGGGTTAGACAAGGCAAAGGTTAATGTCAAGTACCACAGGGTAGCACCATCTAAGGACAGCCAAGCTACCCATCATCACCCATCACACACGTCATCAACAAGAGATCCGAAGGAGGAGCAAGGTGTTCGTTGGCGGATTGAAGTTTTGTGGTAGAACCATCAGCTCATCTAACTCCCAGCTACCCACATCTGCTTCTCTTTTGATCTCTCTCCTGTGATGAGTGGTTTGTCGTGTGATGGCCTGATCCGGCTTTACTCACCATTGGCCTTTCCGTCCATCACAATGGTTGCTCGACGGTTGCGGTGGGCAGAACTGTCAGCAGCAACATTTTTCTGGAATCCTCCGACAGATGCGGATCGGGTGGTGAAGGCACTGGCAACAGCCAAAAGCGACAAGAAGCAAGTAAGTCTCATGGTGCTATTATCTATCTATCTACCGGTGCCCTATGGTTTGGTTGTGGATACTGTGATATGATAGCAACAAAAATTTGCCGCTTGGATGGGTGGGTAGCAGTGCAGTGTGGAGTTCAACTTGGATGGGTAGAGCTACGCATACGTATGCGGCTCCCCACCGTATTGCATTCTGAGAGAAGACTGAACTTTTCCCAAGTGCGTTAGCAAAATTTGTACGTAAGCGTACGGGTATGTACAGGGGTGCTGAAGTCCCTCGGGACTCAAATGTGGGGGAATGATGGTGGCAAATGAAAAACGTACCCCGAAATCCATTGTGGCACAATGCCCGCCACCCATCCGACTCCCAGGTCCAGCTTGCCAAACGTTTGTAGCTGGCACCGGTAGCTCCTCTGCTGTCGTCATTGCCGTAGCCTTCATTTTAACTTTGATAACTTTGATTGGTTTCTTGTGTAGCTACGTGCTAGGTAGGTGGTTGTTTCCTCCTTCAGTTGTTTTCTTTGCTAGCTAGTTTCCGTCCTAAGGGATTAGAAGCATCCAGTACCTTTGCTGCCTGTGGTGGCGAACCGTTTAGTCTAATTGTGGCCTGAAAAACGCGAAGAAGAAGTTGAGCTTGGCTGATGGGCAAACGCAAAACGCCAAGGCCTCGTCGGGCTCTGCATGGACGGCGTTTGGGGCCTATGCATACCTGTATCGAGAAAGCTATTGCTCGTTATTTCAACAGGGGCTGACCCAGAACACATCGCCAAGCGCCACCTACTGTACTGGTACTAGCTAGCTAGCTAGCTAGCTAGTACCAGGTAGTAGCCAGAAGCAAGCTAGTCAGTCCGGTTAGAACCGTGATTAAACTACTTTTTCATTGAGGACTGGACTAGGGACTGGATGAGAAAGACGCAGGCAGTGACTCAGTGACACAACACAACAGTGTTCTTACCACAACATTGGTGTTGCCATAACTTCTCTGCCTGGGTCCATTGCGTTGCTATCGAGACGAATCGAATCTCTTACAAATAGGAAAACAAGGAAGACAACTGTACACATCGAGAAGATGAGACAATTTTTGATTTTGTTGGCACTGGCCCTTTTCGCCGCTGGATCCAATGCGTTTTCTGGAAATGCGTTTGTGAGCAAGACACCCAAGAGTTCTTCGACATCACTCGAAATGACCAAGTTGGTCTATGGCTCTAAAGCAAAGGACTTCAAACCTGGAAGCAAACTGTCTGTTGCATGCGCTGCTCTTGGTGTCAAGCCCCGATACAACTGCAAGAAGTGAGAAATCTGTGTTGTCTATTTCTCTTTCGCTCTCGTTGTTCTCTTGTTTTCTCTGGCAATTAACTGACTCAATCATGTTTCTCTTGTTATTTAATATTTTAGTGGAGAATGCAATTCCTGTGTTCTTAGCGTGGGAGGAAGTCGAATGAAGCCTTGCGTTGGCAAAGTTCCACCTGAACCAAAGCTCAAGTCACTTCAGCAGCAAGGATTGCAGATCCGCTAAATATCCCCTGGATCGAACCTACTGTACTCTGAAAACTCCTTGGTCTCCACAACTTGCTTCTGGCATCTTTGCAGGAAAGAGAAAAAATTCTACACAATAATTAGCCCCTGGAACCTGGAATTAGCTACATAGGTATTTTGTAAATAAGCAAGCAAGCACAACAGTGGAATCAAACCACAGAAAATGATTGAATCGAGCTATAGAAGCCTCTCGTCTGATGGCTACTTCTGCTAAAGGGGACTTCACGAGGATGAAGTAACATGTACGGTACCGGTACATGCAGAACATTTGGTTAGTTTCGTTTCTGCCAACAGATCCACCCTTGAGAAAACAGCCATGACCCGGGAGGAGCTACTACTAGCTAGTAGTAGGTTAGTTCTTTGCAACATCGGTTATCTCTTTGATAACCGCTTGGATCTGCTTGTTGATGTAAAGTACAGTAATGACGTCAATCAATTTGGGAAAAAATGAAACTGACCTCACCACCATGCTGTGACAACCAACAGAAGGTCAACCAGCAACCCACCGATGCCTTTAGCCAAACCTGTACCACCACTGCAGCACTGAAACAGTCCGCATCGACAATTTCACCCAGTATAACCCACTACTGCAGTAGCACCATGAAGACCTTTGCTTTCTTGGCCCTTGCATTCCTCCTGGCCATTTGCGGCAATGCCAACGCCTTTGTTAGTCGATGTCCCTCTGTTGTCAAAGGCGACTCTGCTCTCAAGATGACAATCTTGACCTACGGCAACAAAAAGAAGGATTTCAAGCCGGGAACACCACTGAAGACGGCTTTACCTCAGCTTGGCGTCAAACCCGTGTACTCGTGCAGAAAGTAAGATCCACTTTCATTGCTGCATTCTCTACCTTACCGTGCTGCCAATATGGTTTCAACTGTGTTCTGTCTTTTTGTCTCATAAACTGTTTCTTGTTCTGCCATGCCGTAGGGGCGACTGTGCTACTTGCCAAGTGCTCATTGGTGGACAATTCACCCGGGCATGCATTGGCAAGGTCCCTGCCGAGCCAAAGCTCAAGTCCCTGCAGGAAAACGGTCTTCCTGTGAGCGTGTAAAGATGATGGGAAAGATCCTCCAGCAATGCTGCCGGGATGGTTGGATTCTATCAACACTTTCAAGATTGTACATACTAATCCATAACTAAGTCGCAACCTAGCCAGCTTGGTGCAAATGTTTGCACGAAGGATCATTGCTAGCTTCTTACCTTTTTGAAGTGGCGCGACAACAATCATAGTCCTGTAGCTCTGCGTGATCAGTCTGGGCCATGTTCCCCGACCTGGAGAACCAAAGTTTCGTTGCAGTCAAATTTATGTTGCTCTGTCTACGTAACTGGTTCCCTAATTTGCATCTTTAGTTTTATTTACATGCATGGTCTAACTGGGTGGTACTCTGGTTGCGAGGCCTGAAATTGTCGTACACGTTGTTTTGTGTGTTGGTGCCGCTTTGAAAGGCGGGCTGTCTTCAAAATTATTTACACCACTGCAGAGGATGTCATGTTTTGGATCAATCCATGGACTGCTTCTCCTGTTTCCGAGTCCTTTTCCAACAGCACGTTGACAACCTCCCCCACCACAATCGTACTGGGTGGCTTCACCTGATGCTCTTCTGCCACATCAGCAATCGTCATCAAGTTTCCGGTAACAGTTCGTTGATTGGGGCACCCAGCCCGTTCCACAATTGCCACGGGTGTTTCGGGTGGATAATTGGCCATGTTAATCAGTCTGCCGCACAGCTCCTTGAGTCGTCCCACCGCCATCAAAAAGACCACAGTTTGTTGCTTATGATATTGAATCAAATCTGGAGAGGTTCCTTCTCGACCATAGCCTGTGCACATGACAACCTGCTGTGCAACTCCTCTATGAGTTACAGGGATGGAACCCAACAAGGGTGCCGAGAATGCCGACGAGACACCCTTCAATGTTTTGAATCAGGGTAGCAGCAAGTTTTTTGTGAGATATCAACAACAGAAGAGACCTTCATAGCTTTCTTCCTGTCCAAGTAAATACTCACCGGGATCACTTTGGATTCCACTCCAAAATCACGAAATACCAATACTTCTTCTCCTCCTCGTCCAAAGACAAATGGGTCGCCAATCTTCAATCGGATGACATGCTTGCCTTGCTTGAGTCCCTCGTGAACCCAGGAGAAAATCTCTTCCTGTGCGAATTCGGCACATCCGGGCAATTTTCGTGCCACTTTGATTTCTCCCGGAATCAAATCCAATATTTCTTGGGCCACCAATCGATCGGAAATGACCAGTGCATTGGGATTTTGCGTCAATATCTTGTAAGCAGCCACAGTTAACAAATCCGGATCGCCCGGTCCAGCTCCCACCAAGGTCACTCGGCCGCCATTGGGTAATTGATCCGGAAGAGTACCACCATCATTGGGTCCCAGCGGTTCCAATGTCGAGTGATGTGCAATTCCCCATTCATTATTGGCGGAAAACACTTTCTTTTGCACATTGGCTTTGCCTCCAGTGGATAGCTCATTGTTGGTGGGATCTGTCGCGTAGAACAGCGTAGAAAAGTGTCTTCTGGATGAAATTGGCACAAAGGCCAAGGTCGACCTGGATGCCAAGAGCACCGCCAACAACAACATGGACCGAATCATGACGGGAGAAACTAGGTTGGTTGCAAAGAATTGAAAGAATGAATGAATCGCAGCGCAAGAAACTTTATGTGTGCCTCTACCGTTCCACCAATTTTAACCAGATTTGTTTAGCAAACAAGTCTAATCAGATAGATATCAGTAAATCTGCCGAAGGAACCTGCTGAAGGAACTTTATTATTCGCAAGGAACAACAGATGTTTACTGCTGCCCACAAATAAATCTTCCTGACCAAAAAGGAGTGATGGGTCGGTTTTGTGGAGGCAGGAGGAGGGAAGAAGTTTGGTGCTTCCCTTCGTTTGGTTTGGGAAAGATCTAGATAACTTCGCTCATGTCGCGCCGTAGGTTTTCTACATGCGCATTTCTTGCGAACGCCACCGATGGCATTCGTGGTTGAAACACGCACCAGATGGGTTTTCGAAAATGCCGGCACAAATTTGAAGCTGACTTGCGACTTGCGAAGCCGCATCAAGCCATCGTAGCTACTGTAGGCTGCTGAGACAGAGGTAGCCGAAGAGGTAGACAGTAATGGTACCGGTAGCTTCTGACACCCACGAGTTGTACTTGAGTACAGAGGATCCGAACCAGCGAGAATGGTGACTTGGTTTACATTACTACATTTACTTGTTTTCAAGTGGATTTGAACAGACGAACGTGAGCTATTGATTTCATTCATTCCGGGTTAGCCGGACTTGGCATCTCGTGGCTCCAACATACAGGACATGCTGCATATTTAGTAGACTTCCACATGCCACTGCTTCTTGCCCTTGAGTCCTTTCAACCAAGCATCATAATCCAAGCCTTTCTTCTCTGCAACTCCCTTGAGCATGCCTTGGATTCCAGGCATCATTCCCTTCAATCCACAGAAATAAATATGGGCACCATTCTCAAGCTTCTCAAAGACTTCATCAGCATATTCCTCAACCTTGTCTTGAATGTACATCTTTCCACCCTTAGTGTTGGTTTGTTCACGGGAAAGAGCATAGTCAAGACGGAAGTTATCGGGGTAGTTCTTCTTGGCCTCTTGCCACTCATCATCATACAACAAGGCGTCACTGTTCGCAACTCCAAGGAACAACCAGGCTTGGCCCTTGTAGGCTTCACCAGCTGGTGTCTTTTCTGTGAAGAGACGTCTCACAAAACCACGGTAAGGAGCAATACCAGTACCAGTGGCAACCATAATGTAGTCAGTGCTAGGATCTTCCTCTGGCATGAGCATAACCTTTCCAGCCGGACCAGTCATTTGAACATCATCACCAGGCTTGGTGTCGCACAAAAAGTTGGAGCAAATTCCCTTCTTGGCAGGATCATCAGCCTTGAGGTCTGGGCACCAGTAGGTTGCACGACGAACACACAAGGATCCAGTGTTTCCTGTCATGTCATCTCCATAACGAGAAGAGGCAATGGAGTAAAGGCGAACAGAGTGAGGCTTTCCATCCTTTTCCCTCACACCAGGTGGAATGACTCCCCAGGATTGGCCCTCCCAGTAGGGGAAGTCGCCTTTGTGGTCAATGATGATGTGGCATGTTTCACCAGTAGCCTTAGGTCCAACAATTCTCTTTGTGGAGACAACCTTTCCAGTGAAAGGTGCCTTGTTCTTGTACACATTCACAGGAACAGTGGATTGGTCCCAGTAGGGCTCAGCCTCCAAAAAGTTCTGCTTGTTTCCACCCCCAGCCAACTTGATTCCAACGGCGGCTCCTGCAATAACACCAGCACCAATGCCAATCATTTTTTTCGTGTTATCGGCTGTCTCTACAACCTTGACAGCCTTTTTGGCAGCAGCAAAAGCCGGTGGTGGGGCTCCAGCGGTAGCAACGGCGATGGTTCCCAAGGCTCCAGCAACCCTTCCGAGGACCTTTAAATTGGTAGACATGGGAGAATGCAATTTCGTCAGACAATACGGCTTTTCTTTTTCTCTACGTCCAAGGAATACAGATACCCACCTTCACGGCAGCTTTCCTCTTGGATCCCTTCTCCTCAGCGGCCATGGACAAGGCAGTGGTGGCATGGCTGCTACAATACATTGGTGAGATAGGGAAATCATGGTCAGCGACAATACAGAACTAATTCGCTATAGTGTTCTCAAACATCATCTAAATATCTATTGCAATCCTTACCGCGAAATTTGCTGAGGAGCAAACGCAGCAGCCGATGCTGCCAGAGCGAGGACAGAGACAAGTTGGAGTTTCATGGTGTATGTTTCCTACCAAGCGTCAAAACTCAGAGAGAAAGTGAGTGAAGGCATCACAGCGAGAGCTGAGAGCGACATTCGCGTCTTGCGTACTAAAGGAAGACTACTAGCTAGCTAGTAGTACAGTCATGGGCAAACTTTCGCACCTTTTTGTTTACAAGAGCCATGAGTGCGGTATCAAACGTCAGTCTTCTCGCCTCGTACGTTCATTTATTTTCCCTCTGGTTTTCCCATGGTTGAACTTGAAAACGTGTTCTTACGCGGAAGATACGTACGCAACGGCGAGGCGAGCTCTCATAACAAAAGATACCGTTAGTCTTTGGCACTTTGACACCTCGATCTTTTGTCCCTCTTTCCCGCTACTGTACTTTTTGTGCATTGCATCGGTAAACATTTTCTACTAACCAGTAGACAACTATGCATATTGCCAAGATGAAGCCCCTCATCGTTGCATCAATCTGGCTTGCTACCGCTGGAGTTTGCTTGGCCCTGGTGCCACAAGAGCAACAGACTCGACGAGCGTTCTTTATCACAGCCAGCTCTAGCGCCGTGATACTACCACCTGCCATTTCAGGTGCCTTTGATGGAGGCGGCTCTTCTGCTTACTCTGGACGCACTCCCTTGGAAAAGGCAGCAAAGCAAAAGAGCTACCGAGACCGTATCGTAGCTGATGTCAAAGATTTCAACACACTTGGTGCAGCCATTGAGACTGGCGAGGTGGATGGAGATGCTTGGGTTGGCTTTTTCATTCCCTACCAGAGGAGAGAGCCTGACTCTGTCGGTCGAACTTATGCCGCTCTCTTGGATTTGATTGGAGTAGAAAAATCAGGAGGAGGGGCTGCTCTCTTGCTGGCAACCACCTACGCCAAGCCAAATAAGCCACCCAACAATCTTCCTCAGTACAAGAAGTATGAAAGTCTCCTCCAGAATTTTAATGGCATCAAGGCAGCGGGAAAGGCTGGAGAGGCCAAGAAAGCACAAAAGGAATGGTCTAAAGCAGCCTCTGTCTTGGCCGACTATTTGGAGTCAGTAGAATTGCCTGCTGACTTGTCAGATCCAATCTACAAGTAGGCTAGCTAGTTAGTGAAGCAGTGCAAGAAAAACGACAGCAGTCATTCATTATTTGGTCCCAGAGCACCAGATGAATGTCGAGTGCTGAGCAAGTCCCATACTACGTCATCCCCGTTCTCGGTCGAATGAGGATCTTCTACAGCTGCACTGCTAGAGAGTTCCATAACAAAGTGATAGCTACTTTATTTTTCTGCAACCACTTTCATGATCTCCTCGTCACATCGCTTACTGATCAATTCTGGTAAGCGAAGGAGATTCCAATACCCCAGTATTTCTTTCATCAGTCACTCTTTGCTGAATCGTATGAGTATTTCTTTCACACATTCAATCGATGATACCTTTGTTTCAGGAAAACGTCCTTCTACCATGCTTGCTGAAACTACAAGGCAACAAACTAAGAAGATGCTTGGTCGTACGCGTCCAAGACATGATTGATTTCCGGATTGGCAAAGTCCGCGGAAACACACTTGTAGCGGACGTGTTCGTACTTTCTTTTGACCGAGAAAAGGACTCGTCGTGAGCTCGTGAGGTGCGGGTTCTTCACCTTGTGGCAAATCTTCTGAGCAACCTCCACAATCTTCTGACCCTCGTAGCCCGTATACTCTTGCAAAACCAAAGGCTGTAGTTCAAACAAAATAGTCAACTGTAAGCGATCGCAGCGAGAAATGAAACGAGGACTGCATCGCATTCTGAAGACTTACCACCCCTGGAGCAGGAGTGCTGATTCCCTCGTAACTCCGGATCGAGGGGTTGTTCAAGGCCAGACTGACTGCCGACGCAGCAACTAGAGACGGCCGGTGTCTCAAATAGCTGTATTCTTGTAGCATCCGTTCCATATAGTACTGGGCTGCATGCCCCTGCAAAGTTGTCGCACCCGTGATGTGCAAAAAGCGAAGCAAGAAAGGATACCCAGTCGGCACTGAGAGCTTGTACTCCAGCGCCTTCATGATTTCTACCTCCGTTTCAAGGACGTCATCTCTCGTGTAGGCAGCATCGCAGATGTAAACACAGTCTGAGACTTCCGGCGGATAGATTTCTTCCACCTTGCATGCAATTAGAAGGGCCGTCACACCGACCAACTGCAATTGAGAACGCTCTACCTGGACAAGTTCGAGGTACCTATCAATGACGTTGACGCAAAGATACAGCGTAGTTTGCTCGAGACGAAACTTCATGTGCACTTCAACCAGCCAATCGACCAGAATGGATCGCATGCTTGTATTGAGCTGCAGCTGGTCTCCCATGTATGGATGGGGACGTGTCTCAAGCTGCGAGAGGAGTCAAGACATTGTGAGACCAACCAACGGATGTCTTGACCAAAGAATGAACAGCGCGAGACAGAAAACTTACTTCTCGAGCAAACAGTCGTTGCATAATGTCGCTAACATACTCCGGCGCTTCCAAAACATTGCCTACATTCACTTGGTCCACTGGTGCAACTTTCAACGTGAACTTGGAGTCATCAAATCGAACATTGGAAGCGTCGCCGCGCGAAAGACGAAAGTCGTCCTGGCGGACAAAGTCAACGCAAGGGGAGGAAGGCTGCGTTGGAACGGAGCTTGCTGCCGTTTTAGCTGTTCTGGATTTCTTTCTTGGCTTGTTGTCTTCGTCAGATACATCATTGCCGTCTCTGGATCGCTTCGAAGACCTTGCCCGCTTGGCATTCCCCTTTCCTCGAGTCGGTCTTTTTGTGCAGACCTGTACTGTTGCCTTTGCGGCGTTGCTTCTACTAGAAGCTTGCGTTGGAAGTTGGGAGGCTGCAGCTTCGTTGGACACTTCCGCGTCGGAGGATTTGACTCTGGCTCCTCTGGAAGAACCGCGTCGGGTTGTTCTGGTTGGAACGGGTTCGGCCTGGGCAGATTTTGATCTACTGCGAGCACGAGTGCTTCTGGCTGGCATCTTTTGATCTTCTTTAGGTTGGGCGACTGCAGCAGGTTTCTGTTCGTTGTCTCGAGCTAGACTGGAGGATCGAGTTTTTCTGCGTTGCTGTGGTGGAGGTTCATCATCAGACTTTGCCCTTCCTCTGGCAGCGCGAGTCTGCCTGGTTGTTGTTGCTTTCTCCTCACATTCAACGGCTGCTTTGCCTCTGCTCTCAGCGTCTTTGGTAGATGCCCTGTCTGCTTTGGTGGCCTTTCCCGGGGCTTTGGATTCGTCTTTTGGTTCACTCTCCGTAGGCTTGACAGATGCCCTTCCTCGAGTCTGCCTGGTTGCTCTTACTTCTAGCTGTGCATTGCTAGCGTTGGTTGTCGGCTCATTTTCGACAGCTGCGGCGGGTGGCTTTGCTGACTTTGCTCTGGCTTTCCCTCGCTTGGCTGGGGCATCTGGGGCCGATTCCGAAGCTTCAGCAGTGAGATCTCCTCCTGGAGGATCCTTTGCCTTGCCTCTGCTTTTGGCTCGCGTCAGTCTGGCTGGCTGTTTCTCATTTGCGTCAGGATTAGCCATGCTGGGTTGTGTGTTGTCGGATTCGTTGGCTCCAGCATCATCAGTCGTCTCCGACAACTTCATGGATCTCGTGCGCCTTGGTGGCATGTTCACTGATTCGTTCTTGTTGCCTTTTGTTGCCTTTTTCTCGACGTTGTCGTTCACGTCCTTTCTTGAGGCCACAGCTGTCTTCAATGGTTTGGATGAAGGCAAATCATCTTGCACGGCACCATGGGAAAGGCGAGCACTACGTCGTTTTCCAGCATTGGTGGTGGCTTCTACTTCTTCCACAGGGGCTGAGGCTGTTCTTTTCCTTGAGTTGGCTGCTTCTACTTCTTCGGAAGACTTTTTCTTTGAGGGATTTCCTCGCTTGGCATTGTTGGACACGTCACCGAAAACTGGACGAGCCTTTCTGGTTGGAAGCGCTGCTGCAGCAGCGGCATTGCTTCTGGTTGTTCTCGGCATGTTGTGGTTGCGCTTGTGCCTTCTTCTAGACCGACCTGCCTGTGTACATGTACGATTGTAGTAGACAAGATGACGACTTGAAGAGACAAAGAGGAAGCGTTCAGCTTTAATCTCAAAAAAACCAATGACGCCGGCTGTTCCTTCTGCCGTCAAAGCCACGAAAGATGCCGGTAGCTACTCTCTTACCTGATTTGATTTGTCAACGGGGCTCCAACAAAACCATGAGGCTGAGACGCTCGATGCTTGTCCTCTCTCACAAAAGCCACAACCAAGGCGAAAGAAATGATGGCTTTCGTTTGGTTCAGAGAGAGCCGTTAAGGTCGGTCAAAAATATCAATGGATGGCGCCCTTAAGTCTTCCCCCAATCGGGGCCAATGACAGGCTTTCAAGAAGCCAGCCTTCCTAACCTTAACCCCACCGGCAATGGTGCCCGCCTAAGTGTCGTCTCGTCGGCTCGGCTTCGTGGCGCCACCATTCAAGTCTACCGGTTGCCGCATTAGAACGCAGAGCTGCCATGCAAGGAGAAGGCGCCTCTTCGATGTGGGCGGGAAAGATTGTGGATTGTTGACGCGCGACAAAACTAGAGGGTATGACATAGACTACCGTACCGGTACCATGCAACCACTCTGGACTCGACTCTGACTCGATTCTGACTCCGTTATCAAATTTAGAGCCTCGCAGCAGAGACCAAAGAAAACGTTTGAGGATTCTGGAAAGGGAGGGAATTGCCCTGCTGCTTTTCAGGAATCCCTGCTTTGTGAGGGCCTATGGAGCTCTTCTGTGGTCCTTGTATTTTAGTTTAGGGGACGAATCTTACTTCTTAGAGCTGTTCTTAGTGGTTGTGTGCACGATACCATAAAAACCAAACTGGAAATCCACCCAGTCCTTGGAAGGATCTGTACTCAACAGATCCGACGAAAGAACTGTACCGATAATGCATCATGCACATTTTCGTCACTGACAGGTTCCCTGCGAAGTACTACTGGTACCTGATATTCAGAGTGCATTATCCACTTCTAATGTTTATATACAGAATAAAGCGTTTCCATTGTTCTGTTTCGTATTTTGTTGTGTGTTGAAAGCCATGCAACAAAGGCTTTTCCAGTTTATTTTCCTCGCTTTCCTTTCAACAATAGCTCTTTGGCTTCATTAATTTTTCCAGCCACGTGGGTCGATCCGCCGGTATCCGGGTGGTTGAGAACCAACAATTTTCGATGGGCGTCCTTGATACGGGATGCTGGGCTGGATTCGCGAACGCCCAAAATGAGAGCCGCTTCTCGTCGGGTCATGGTCTCTTCAAACCCTCCTTCGTAATACTTCGCTCCTACGCCCACACCAAACCACTTGGAAAAAATATTTTCTCCCTTTTCTCCGCCTGCTGGCTTTTGTTGTTGTTGTTGGGTCGCTTCTTGTTTTTGTTGATTGGCTTGATCTTCTTTTTCTTGCTGCTTTCTCTGCTCCTCCATTTCTTCTTCCGATGGCAGGCTTGCCTTATATTCGTTGTAGGCTCTCACGGCCGAAGAACCCGCGTATGCTAAGGCCGAAACAGCACCCAAACCCAACCCAATCGCCACTATCTTTTCGGGTTGAGGAGTGCTGTGGTACTGTGCCACTTGCATGGATGGTAGAGATGACATTTGCAGCTTTACATTAGCTTGTTCCTTCTTTCTCCTTTCACCCTCCCAAGGACTATTGGATCCCACCACTGTATGAAAGAAATGGGAAGAAGGTGCCGACCAATGAAATTGCTCCTGATGTTGTTGATGCCGGAGCAAAGATGGCGTGAAAACTGTCTTTCTGGATAGTAGCTGACCTGTGCGGCTGCCGCCCACTGATGCGGCTCTCATCATGCTCATGGTAGCAAACTAAAATTTGCAATTGGCTGTTGTCTTTTTGTGATTTAATCGAGTGTGGTCGGTGGTTGTGGTGGTGGGAACACGAATGGAGGCTGCCAGAGGCGCATTCTCACCAAATCGCTGGTGGAAGAAGTTCTTCGAAGAACAGATTGACGAAAACAGGCTGGTGAAGCTGTCAAATACTGGTTTTAGGGTTTGGTACGGTACCGGTTCAGTACCGAGAATGGTGCAAAAGCGAATGACGAAATCTGATGGTACGGTAGAAGATGCTCTGACATACATCATACATGTACTAGCTAGTACATGTACATGCACTGCCGTACCGGTACCCGTACCAGTATTAACATGTAGAGACTACATACATGTAGAGACCACCGCTTGGAACTGTGCAAACCCACAAATCAAGGAAACGCAGTAAGTGTCAACTATTGCTGAAGAAGTGCAGCGGGAGTCGCGACTAGCTAGTGAAGTTTCAAGCCAAACCCCATCCAGGCAGATCGCCCAGCAGTGCTCCAAGCTCCAGTCTCAGTTCTCAGTTCAGCTCCCAACAGTGGGCCTCCCACAAACACTCCAAAAGCAAGCCCAACCTCCTCTCCCACCAGTCCTCCCACATCTGGAGTGACAGTCCATCGAGTGGTGAACTTTCTAGCCTTTAATAGCCGGCCTCGGAGATTACGCGGATGATCTTTTGGGTACTTCTCTATACTCTTTACAAGAAATCCTAACAGTAAGGATGAGTACTCACGCTGCTACACATATCTGCCCTCTAAAGGTACTGTCCATCTTGTCACGAACATACCCCCTGTCGAAGAGCTAGTCAAAATATAGATTCCTAGAGTTATTTGTTTTAAAAGAACATGACTTCCTGCAACCGATTGTTTTCAAACGATGATGAAGGCGACTGGCAACCTGATCCTGCATTGGCGAACCTCTTTCGCAATTCAATCTAACGTCGCTTCAAGTTTTGCATTGACACGACATCTTTAGAGCAGCCATTGGCAGTAGCACGCACTAGACGGGTGCTTGCGTGTCGTAAATCCGCTCAGAAAGACGCAGCAACACAACATGACAGATAGATTGGAGCGGTATGGTTAGGGCGGTGAGCGAGGTCGAGCCACGAGATATTCCACATACCCCCCAAAGTTGTCCTCGTCCCATGGGAAATTGAGTACAATGTCGCCCTTTTGGAGAATCAGTGCCGGGGGAGGCTTGCTAGACGCAAATTGCGAGATCAACTGCTCCGCTTTTTCGGGCAAGTTGATGCCAGGAATCTTGGACAACCATTTCAAGCGCAACGCCTTTCCACTTTCGTACTCGTCAATGACCTTTTGGGCCGCTTCGGTGTCTATTGGAACGGAATTGTTGTAAGCAAGCTGATGTGACTTGAGTTCCCAAAATTCTGATTTGGCGTATGGCAGCACAATGGGTGTGTTGACCGTGTACACATTACCGTTGAACTCAAGGTCCTCCTCATTTTGAGTATGTGGGCATTGCAAGGGATGATCAATGTTGGTGATTTCAAACGTTGAATCTCCAGTCATTCGAAGCTCCCAATCTGGCCAGTGCCACTCTAAATCCCATTTGATGGACTTGTCAATCATGACTTTTCCAAGGACGCTGTCGTCTTGCTTGGTGAATTCCACTGTGCCGAGAATGGCTTGGTTCAAATCCCTGCCTTGCAAGGAAGTTTGGGTGAAGAAGAAAATGAGATCGTGCGTTCCCACCAATGTCTCTTTGGAGGCAATGAGCTCGTATTCTAACGAGGGGCGATCTGGCTGTTCGATTTCCTCGTCGTCACTGTCGTAACGAATCTCATCATCATCTGTCTCCAGAGGATATTGAAACGTTGGCATCTTTCGCTGCTGTGGTAGACTCTCCATGAAGGATTGTGGAGTACATCCCTCGTCATCCGAGTGTATGTCACCCTCTTCTTCCTCCCAGTCATCCTCATCCTCATTGTCATCGTCAACAGTGTCATTGTTTCGGTTTGGAGTATTATCCTCCTCCTTCTGCACCTTTGGATTACAGACGCCATCCAAGACACTACGGGTAAAGTAAGGGGCCGTTTTGAGACGTTCCTGCAGTTCTTGAAGTTCTTCGGGGCTCAAAATACGAGGAGCAGGAGCAGGAGCCGGCTTTGCAACCACCTCTTTGTTCTCTGCTGCAACCACCTCTCTGCTCTCTGCAGCAACAACCTCTTTGTTCTCTGGCACCTTCTTTTGAACTTTCGCTCCGTTAGATTTGTTCTTCTTTTGGGCATTCTGGCTTTCCGCAGTAAAACCAGTAACTTTAGTAATACACTCCTTGCATCGTGCTAGGCTGCCTTTTGTCTTTTGATTCTTTGAGAACTCGGAGGGGGGCTTCAATAGTTTGCATGACGCACATTCTAGTTCGGTCTTGGCCACCTTGGTCTTCCTCCGATCGTCCGTGCTGGGAACAACACCTGTGAGCAACCGTTTGTTGTTTGTTTGATTCATTCTGGAAGTAGTACCTCGGTAGCTGCGGTACCGGTACATGTAGTAGTAGTCTTCAAGGTCTCACTTCGAAAAAATGACGAGAAGGTCACTGCATGCTGGTATTGGCGCAACCGGGGTGACCAAAGCCCGCCAACCAATGACGCAGGAGCGGGAAGAACCGAGATCCAATGATGGTTTAAGCCAGTAGGTTGCCAAAACATACTAGTACCATAAAAGTTGACACCTCTTCCAGCTTTTCTTCAATTTTAAAATTTGGCGAAAGCATCACTCGCGATGGTGGTATCTGAGCGATACGAAGGCTCTCCTGACTTAACTGGTACATCATCTCCTACATCCTACATCATTATCATCGTCTTCGACAATCCATCAAGTTCAGCGTTCAGCACTAGCTAGCTAATAGAAAGAAAGATGGCCAAACATCAGAAACGGGTGGCTCGCAAGTCCGTGGGTCAAATGCCTTCCAAAAGTCGCAAAACATGGTCTTCGGACGATGACAGTAGCAACGGCAGCAGCGATAATTCTTCTCGTACAGAGGACGCAACAACAACTTTTCAATCTCCCTCGAAAAAGAGGAAATCTCCATCCTCGGAACGCAGCAGCGGCTACGTGGTGGAACGATCTCCCAGTAGCCGCGCCAAATGTCGAAAGTGTAAACAACCCATTGACAAGGGAGAAGGCAGAATCGGGGCTCCCTATCAATTATCCCTTGGAAAACTGCAGTTGAGCAAACACAAGTACTATCATAAAGAGTGCTTTCCGACAACCGCGGAAGCCAAGAAAAAGCTATTCCCCGATAGTCCGGACCATGTGGATGTCAAGCAAGCCATCAAGAAACGATTGCGACGTGTCGACCAACAGCAACAAGAGGACCAACACATTATCGAAGTCCAACGGGCGACACTGCGAGCGCGATTGCGCAAGCTGCGATTGAAATTGTTTGAAGAACAGGGAGCCAAGGGCGGGAGTGTTGTCATTCTATCCCTCAAGGCACTCGATCAGATTGTACTGACATTGCCACAATCCTTCCACGAGTTGGGACGAATCAAGGGAATCGGACCCACCATGGTCCAAAAATACGGCAAACCGCTAGTGCGAGAGGTCCGAAGGTTCGTACGGGGAGACAATACTAGTACTGACGGGGAGGGTGCAAAAAATGCCAAAATATGATGATGATGACGCCGGCGAGGAAACAATTGAACCATACTGTAGGCGCAAGCGACAAACAGGTGCATGATAGACGTCAGAGAGGAACGGGATCAGATTAATATGTACCTATAAACTCGGTTGGACATTTCTAGTATGGGTTTTCTCTAAATTTTCGAAACTTTCAAGCACGACCACAGTTTCGGATACCTGCATGCACAACGCAACAGTCGTTTCACTCTGATAAGCGACTTCGGCGCTTGCTGAGGACTCTACGACTCCATGCAAGGGCAGCAGAAACTCCTGGCTGGCAACAATGGAACGGGCAATTGAACAGCAGACCGGCGCAGAGAACTTACTAGTACCGTAGTATTAGCATGGATGTCTACAAGAACGATCCCGTAGAATTACAAATAATGTGGGTTACCGGTAGCCACCTGAAACGGCAGGACGGCCCAGATCCAATGAAGCCACGTTGAGTGTATCATGCATGACATGGCTGTTTTAAAACGGCTACTGGACTGGGAACGGCACGTTAGTTGGTGGAAAGACCATATTCATGATAAGGATGCAGTACCGGTACAGTTGCGGATGACCGTTCAATTGGCCCTTGTTTGTTTCGCTGGTGCAGTTCGTCGGTGCAGACAAGCACACCGTCATAGCCACCACCTCAAACACCCTTGACACACTGTCAAATCCAAAGCCATCTTTTTGTGACAACCAAAAACTCCTGGTTTGGCTCCACATTTTGAGGACATTGGCGAATAGTTTTCTTGTCAAAGCTTTTGTGTAGAATTCATAGAAGGTTTGACAGTTTCCTTTAGAAGCTGCATTTGCCATCAACACCATTTCCAATGGCTGAGACTTGGAAAAAAATCCAGTGGCAGGTGGGCACTGTGTCTCAAGAGCAGCAAAGAGAGATGTGGTGTCCATTGTTCATGGTGTCAAAACTCAAAAGAGATGTGGAAGGTGATAGTATCCACGAATGACACCGTTTGTCCTTCGTCCGTCCATCAAGCCACCATCCACTCAAAAATGAGAGCCTTGTTCCAAAAGTTTTGCCCACATTCATATTGCATTGAACCATGGTGATGAAACAAAGTCAAGAGAATAATAATAGCCACAACACTAACACGATGGCCCTCCAGAACAGCAAGAGCACAGAACACACTGTGTTTGTTCGCTTCGTTCCTACCTCTTCGATTCTCCGGCGTCTTCACATTGAAGATTACTTTTCTCAAATTGGTCCCATCAAGAAGGCTTCCTTGATCCACAAGAAGAATGACGAGGATAACCAAGGATCCGGTGGAAGTAGCTACGGCTTCATCAAGTACACGTGCGAGACCGATGCAGAAGAAGCAGCAAAGAAACTGAATCGCTCCACTTTGGAGTTACCCCAAGGAGACCAACAAGATGGACAACCACACAATTTTCAAGTCATGGTAGAATTGGCATCGTCCGTTCAAAATAAACAACAGCAACCATCAAGCGAATCCATTATCACAGAACATCAAAAGAAACACAACCGTGTCATTCTCCGCAATCTCTCCTTCTATGCGACCACCGAAATTGTTCAAGACACTCTGACCAAAAAATTTGGAGACTTGATTGACGTGCACATTCCCACAGTCAAGGGCAAATCACGAGGATTTTGTTTTTGTACCTTTCGCACCACAGTAGATGCACAAAAAGCCATTGACGCTAAAGAAATTGATATCCGCAATCGCAAAGCCACCATTCAGTGGAGTGTCTGCAAACGGGTTCATGACAAGCAGCAACAAGATGACTTGAAACTAAAACGCAAACGCGACTATCAAGATAAAGTCAGGGCGGAACAGGGCACAAATAATGAAAGCAGCAGAGAGCAGGAAAAGAAAGAAGACGACAAGAAGAAAGAAGATGATGACAGTGACGATGCCTCGTCGTCCTCAGATGACGATGATGGCGACAGTAGTAGTAGTGGCAGCAGCAGTGAGTCGGAAGGAGGAGACTCGGATAAGGAGTCTGATGGCAGTGACTCGGAAGTCGACGACGAAGATTCCGAGGATGAAGAAGATGACAAGCCTACGGAAAACTTGCAACAACCCGTCCAAGAACAACGACAATTATTTGTCCGCAATCTACCCTTTGATGCCACCCGGCACGATGTCTTTGAGACCTTTCGAACCTACGGTACCATTGAAGCCATTTATTTGGTGACGAACCCTGTGACCAAATTGCCTCGGGGGACTGCCTTTGTCACGTACAAGAAACCTGCCGGGGCCGCCAGAGCATTGCGCAAGAACAGCGCGATTATCCTCAAGGGACGACCACTAGTGCTCGATTACGCCGTCGACAAGGAAACGGCAACGACATTGGTACGCGACAGCAATCATTCCGAAACCAAAAAGCTAACGGGAAAGGACAAGCGCAATTTCTATCTCCGTGGAGAAGGACGTGTTGATGACGAACAGGAATGGGCTAACATTTCGGAAGCCGAAAAGAACAAACGACAACGCGCTTGGCACGACAAGATTACCAAACTCAAGTCGCCACTGTTCTTTGTGAATGCGCATCGATTGTCGATTCGAAACATTGCCAAAGGTGTCGATGAAGCCGACATCAAAAAGCTACTCTTTCAGGCAACCCAAAGGGGGCTCCAACGCAAATTGGTGTCCATTGATGACTTGGTCGCCGAGTGGAGTGCTTCAGGGGAGTACTCGGCCCGTGAAATATTGGAAAAACGCAAACAATATCAGCGCAAGGATAAACATCAGCATTCGGGTATTGAACCATTGCCCGATAAGGACAATAGCCTCAAGCCAGAGTCGTTGGATGAACGGAACATCAAACGAACCATTTCCTCAGTCTACTTGGATCGTGACTTCGAAGCTGCGGGAGGTACCAAGAATGTGAAAATGGCACCTAGCAGAGGTTTTGCCTTTGCCGAATTCACGTATCATGTGCAAGCTTTGGCGTGTTTGCGGGAGCTCAACAACAATACCATGTACACGGAGGAATATGCAGCGGGTGGCAAGGCCGCCAGCGCTGCCGTTGCGGCTCGAAAGAGGGGCGGCAAAAAGAAAATGAAAGATGGCGACGAGGAAGGTGCCAAGCTGCCTCGCATCATTGTGGAATTTACGGTTGAGAATCGGGCCAAAGCAAAACAACAGGCGGAACATCGAGCGCAGCAACAGGCCAACCGACAAAGACAGAAACTGGAAACAAAGGAGAAGCGGGAGGGCAATGGCAGCAGCGAGGGTGAGAAAACCAAGTCACAATCTAAAAAGAGGGGAAGAGGAGCCAAACAGCGAGAAAAGAAGCGCCAAAGGGAACTCCAAGGCGACAATGACAAGAAAGACGAGAAGGCAAAGAAGGAACCAAAAGCTGACAAAGCAGACAGGAAACGAAAGAATGCGGAGATGGAGCAGCAGGACCAGAAACCCAAGGGCGTCAAACCTCCCAAGAAGCAGAAGAAAGGAAAACGAAAGGAGGTAGAGGCAGAGGACAAGCTTTCAAAGCTCGTCCAGAACTACAATACGGCAGTCAATGACACGTCGCCCAAGGAGAAGAAGGCGGGAACCCCAAATCCCAGCAAAAAGGAGGCCATGGCGGAAGGCAAGAGGTGGTTTGAATAGCCGTGTCGATCCAAGGCACCTTCTCGTTCGGGGGGTTGCATGGTAAACTAAGCTGGCTGGATGGACTCAGTGTTAATTAACTTTCTTTTCAGCGCTGATCATCACATTATTGCTGACTATTGTTGATCGGCTGCTTGCAAGGCGTTACTAACTACATGCAAGATCCCTCCCCGCAGAAGACACTTTGAGGACGCGACCTTGCCACTTGTCACTGTCCACCACGGCTACCTCCAGAAGACTATGACTCAAGTAAGAGCGTCGGATACGGCGCCTGAAGCACACTGCATGGACTCCGACCTAACTACAAAACGCAAAGTCCGATACAAGCCACAAGAAGCGATAATCCTAAACAACCACCCATACATTTGTTGAATGCTACCATCTAGTTGCTTAGCTCATTTCTTCTTGGATTTCAAGATGCCCTTTTCTCCCTTGGTCAACTCCATGGGTCCACGGACAAAGGGCAAGAATTCCTTACCGGCCATGTATGGTCGCAACACTTCGGGAATGACAATACCATCTTCTGTCTGGTGAGTCTCTAAGAGACAGCAGATACCGCGTCCTGTTGCACAAAGCGTTGCATTCAACATATGAACGTAAGAGGCACGAGCTGTCAAGTCCTTGTCTTGCTTCTTGACTCCACACCGGACACCAACACCACGAGCCTGGAAGTCCGTACAGTTGGAGCATGAGACAAGCTCTCGATAAGCCTGTTGTCCGGGGAACCAAGCCTCAAGATCATACTTTTTGACAGCAGCATCATTGAGTTCCGCTGAGACAAGGCAAACCACACGGTAGCTGAATCCCAAACTCTCATAAAAGTCTTTGGCCGCCTGCAGCATTCTCTTTTGTTCGGCCTGAGAGACCTCAAAGCTATCTTCCGTCAAGACAAACTGTTCAATTTTTTCAAACTGATGGACCCGAAAGATGCCTCTGATATCTTTCCCAGAAGAACCAGCTTCCTTCCGGAAACATGTAGAGACACCAGCATACCTCAGCGGCAAGGTTTTTTCATCAATCCACTCTCCCTTGTGATAGGCACAAATGGGCTGTTCACTGGTTGCAATCAGGTATTTTTCAGTGCTTCCAGTGGGGTCATCAGTTTTTCCAGAGACTTTATAGAGCTGTTCATCAAAATCTTCCAATTGAGCAATGCTAGACATAACCTCCTTATTCATCATGAAGGGTGGCTGCAAGACCTGGTATCCTCTCTCCATCAAGAAGGCAATACCATAGTTGATTATGGCCTGGTTCAGCAAGACTCCTGCATTGGTCAGAAAATACTGACGAGCTCCTGCCACATTTTGACCACGTGTTGGTTCGTATCCTCCAATTCGCCAGAGCAAATCATCATGGGTCAGTGGTTTGGTGGGTGGCAAGGAATACTTCAGAGTTCCTTGAGGTTTGGGCAAGAAGTCACTCTGTCCATCAGCTTCGGGAGGCATGGGCTGCAAAAACACCACCAGGTTGTCTTCCTCTTCTTCCTTTGAAATGGGCACTTCTGGGTCCACAATGTTTCCAATTTGTCCCAACAAGGCATCCCTCTTTTCTGCCAAGAGGGGTAACTCAGCAGCCTTTTCTTTTATGGTGGCTTGAATAGCCTTCATCTGAGCGACTTCTTCATCACAAGGTTCCTTGGCTTTCTTCTTGGGAGCAATAACCTCCTTTTGTAACTTGTTGACTTCCTTGCGAAGGTTATCTCCCTCTTTGGTCACATTGCGCCATTGTTCATCAATTGCCAAGACCTGATCCACAATGGAAGGATCCTTGTATCGCTGCTTCATGAAGTTACGATACTTTTCAGGGTCGCCACCCTTGTAGTCACGAAGTTCATTGATGTCAATTGGCATGGTTGCTATCAGATATCCGTGTGTTTTCTGGACGAGCAAATGTGGTCCCTCGGTATGGTACTAGCTAGCTAGTAGCTCTGTTTGGGGTTGTGGTTGTGGAGGTGGGAGCTTTCTCGATGTGAGAACAGACAGCCGAGACGATGATGATTGTTTGAGGTTATGAGCCAGCAGAACAGGCCCCTTTCCAACTCTGCTGTTTTTTACCAGGCACCAAGCATTGTTGCGGCAATGGCTCATGGTCCGCCAAGATAGCGTAAAGTACCGTACATCGTACGCTGTACTGGCCAAACCAGCACTGAATGCGGCCTTTGAAGAGCTGCTGCTGAGCCAGACAAGGTATTGCCAACTCCTCGTTCAAGCCAAGACCCTCTTGGTCAGTACTATCATACATGTATGTATGATCCAAACCTTTTCCAACTTTTCAGGTGGCTCTACACAGCAGGATTCATTCCTCGCAAAGCACGTGTCTCCGGCATCCGGATTGCTGGCACTGGCTATTTTAAAATAGTAGTAAGCCGCCTCATCCCCAATCGATGACGGCGCAGGTTGCTGTACCGGTATGAAAGCCTACTACTGTAGTATGGTACCGTTTGGCCACGGATGGTTTTCATCGATCAAGATCTTTGGAAGTTCTGGGAGCAAAGATCTTTTCACTCTTGCTGTACCGGTACCGGTATGTACTGGTACTGCGTACTTCCCTTTACATGTACTAGTACCAGAAAAGTACAACAATCTTGGCAATTTTCAACCGCTTGCTTCGGTTGGATCCAGCCACCCTGCCGTCATCACACTATTGTCACAAATTGTCTCTCTCCACAAAGAAAAGGACAAGGCAAGAAGCAGAAATTGAGAGAAAATGGAGAAATATCTGTGGGAACCATCGGCAGTCTCTTCTGTCAATGGTGTCCTTCACATCTCGCTTCATTTACAAGTCTCCACGCTCCGAGTTGAGGGTCGAGACTTCACCACGCGCACTCTCAATGGCACTCTTCCAGGCCCTACGCTTCGATTGAAACCTGGCGACACCTTTATTATCGACTATTACAACGACTTGCCAGAGAATGAAATGCAGCATGTACACAATACGTTCTCGGGTCCCAATGATTCCAACCTCCACTTTCATGGCCTTCATGTGAGCGGCGAATTGCCAAGCGATGATAGTACCCTTGTGGTGCCGCCAGGACAGTCGTTCCGCTTCAATACGACTCTACCAGTGGATCATATGCCGGGAACTCATTGGATGCATCCGCATAGGCACGGGTCAACTGCCATTCAGGTGGGAGGAGGAGCCGCTGCCGCCATTATTGTGGAAGATGTACCAAATGCCGACGATAATTCCACGTTTCTCAATCTGCCTCCCCAAGTTGCGAACGCACGGGAAGTTTTGTTGGTGGCTCAAGAATTCGACTTTGCGGAACTAAATGGAATCGCGACACAATCCAAAGATTCTGTCATCCATTTGTCGGACGTCCTTGAGGCAGAAAGCACGGTTGGTTTTGTCAATCTTGCATCCGAAAAAACCTACCTGGTTAATGGACAAGTCAATCCAAAGATACCCCTGCAGCCGAATGAATGGATTCGTTTGAGAGTGATCCATGTGGGATGGCTCACTGGGAGGCTCGAATTTGAACTCACGGGTTGCGAAATGCAACTCATCGCCAAGGATGGCGTTTACCTGCCCGAATTGCCTCGAAAGATTTCACAGGCATCCATCGTCAATGCCGGAAGAGCGGATATCATGGTCCGTTGTCCCTTTTCGGGTGGCGCTGACAGTCACAGCATGACGTGCACCAGCAACATCTGTCAAGGACAGTCCCTTGTCACCTTGATCAAGTATACCACTACTGGCACCGGTGCAATCAATGATGGTGACATGGAGACTATCCAGACTGTCTTTCCTGGTTATCTACAAGACCTTCGCGACACTCCACCAACGCCAGGATGTTCCTGTCAAACCGATTTGGACGACATGGAGTTTCCCGAAAACTCCTTCGACTTTTTTCACGAGACTTTCCAAGGCTCGGTAGTTGAGCGGCAGCTGGGAGCGGACAATCACCCGTATCATCAGCATGTGCATCCTTTCCAAATTGTTGGTGGCCTCAACAACAACCAAGACGGTCCTTACTATCAGGTGGGAGACTGGCACGACACCATTGAAGGGCAGCCAGTCGTACGATATAGCCCTACAGTATTTGCAGGGAAGATGATGATTCATTGTCATCGTCTGGATCATGAAGATGAAGGGATGATGAGAATTGAGTACATTCACCCCAACAGCACCAGCAAGATCCACCCCGAAACGGGCAACAGTTGTGTGTGTATTCCACAAGGTCCCCCAGTGTGGGCATTCGTTCTCTTCGTTCTGGGACTTGCTTTGGCGCTTTTGGTAATTACGATTTTGGTAGTGTGGTTCCTTCGACGAAGAGGCAAGTGCATGTGGTTTCCGTGGCCTTGTGGATCCAAACAGCTAGAGCCTGTTCCATCATTGTCCAATGAAGAACGAGATGATTCCAAGAATACTGGAGGCAACGACGAAGAGGCATTGGTAGTCGTTCCTCAGCCCCCTGGCACAGTCGAAGGGGGCCAGGCAGAGACGATGGAGGACGAATTGCCAGCATCCTACTAGCGCGCTGGCGACAGTGTAGTCAGTCCAACCCACGTTAAATTTTTTCATTGTTCCGAGGAATAGTGAAGTTGCAGTAGCAACAGTGCACCACAACTATGCATGTACTAATCTATTATAATATTCATAGAAAAACCGCAATCAATGACGAAGATACGTAGAGTACGGGGTACCGGTATGGCCACCTTGCTACTAGCTACTCCCATCCGGACAGCTCCTTCACCTGCTTCTGGAATGTACAAGCGGAGATCCGTTGTGTCTGAAGAAGTAAGGGTCGCCTGTATTGGTATCACAACACCAGTGTCGCTGCTCGAGAGACACAGTTTCACGAAAGCTAAAAGTATAATTTATCAACGTACATTTTATTTACTCACACAATTTTCTTCATTCATTCAATCGTTTCCTTTCCCATCACATTATTTGCCTGACAAATACACAAACTACATACATACATATACGTACGGTGCTACTGGGTTTTGTTGCATCCGACTTCAACGTCCAGGTGGGTGGTGATAGTATCCATGTTGCTGGGTTCCATGCTGTTGTTGCCGATACGCTTGTTGTTGTTGCTGCCGCTGCTGTTCCGGCGACATCATATGAAGGGGCGGTGCAGCTGGAACATGAACAGGGATCACCATGCCAGGAGGTATCCCCTCTGGAACCATTACTTGCACAGGGTATCCAGCCGGCGATGACACTACCATTTGACGATTGGGCATCAAGACAGGCGGCACCTGCACTTGGACTGTCACGTATCCCGGTGGAGGCTGATGGTATGGCATTCCCATCTGCTGATAGGGGTTAGGGTGATATTGATAATTCATTTGTGGCTGCATGTGTGGTGGTTGAGGTCCTCGGGAGTGGGGCATCGCTGGTTGTGGCTGCTGCCGTGGATTGGGTGTGGGTCCCGAGGTGCTTGATGTTTTTGCTCCACCAGACGCTAGAGCGGCCAAATTAATGCCGGTTTTGCTGGGCAATGCTGTTTGTTCTTGCTTTTCCTCAGTTGCTTCTGAAGGTTTCGTTTCAGGATCCTCTGCTGTTGATTTGGGAGCTTCCCCAGCGGCAGCATTGGGACTTGTAGCGTCGCCACTACTGGGTGCAACAGGCAACAGCGACGCGAGAGCTTCTTCCGCATGTTTCTCTGCCGCTGCATCGCTGATTGCCACCTGATCTTTCAAAATCAGTGGAGAGGTAAATGCTGGAATGGGCAACTTACTGGCATCAGGAGAAGATTGGAATGCCGACCAGGCAAAGTTATTCTTTCCGTCTTCCTCATTGCTAGGTTTGTTTGCCGTGGCGTCATTTCCTTTAGGGTTCTTTTTGTTGTTCTTCTTATTCTTTCCTTTCTTGTTGTTTCCTCCTTCAGTCTTCACACCCTCCTTTTTGCCGCCTTCTTTCTGCGGCCGTCCCTGTGACTGACTCCGGTTCTGTGGCTGCTGCTTCTTTTGATTTTGAGGTTGTTGTGTTTGTTGTCCTTCTCCATCTCCTCCTTGTTGCTTGGCATTTTGTTTCTTATTACGATTTCTCTTGTTCTTGGGAGGCTTTCCACCAGATGGGGGCTTTGCAGCGTCAGTCTGGTCCACTGCTGACTGCTGCTTTGGGGCAGCAACAGGCTTCTCACTGCTGACACCACCACCATCACCATCACCACCACCACCACCAATCCCCAACAAACCCTTCAACTGAGCTGTAGCTGCATTGACCTCTTGATCCATCGTGCTCTTGGGGTCATTCGGATCGATGTACATTTCTAATGGGTCCTCTCTGCTAGCAAGCGACTAGCTAGCTAATAGCTACAATAGCAATGGTACCGTAGTGAAACTTTGAAACAACTTCTTTCGTTGTTGATCTAGTGCTGCTGCAAGCTTGTTGTGCTGGCACGGTGCGCCTTGCTACCGGTAAAACTGCAGAATTTTGCTGTCTGTCCCCTCTGTCTTTTCCGAAATTTTCTTCTTCCGAAAATTTCATGCAAACGGAGTTTAATACACCGAAATAGTTCCGAAATTTGATTAGTCAGTCGCACACTCGCCTTATCTAGCAACTGTATCGTACTGTACGATAGCTCTGCGATAACGATGGCCTCTCTACCGTACGGTATGCATGCACAGTGAGAGAGCAATGGCAAGAGACTCCTACTAGCTGGTAGATACATCGGCGTTCTAGAGACTAATCAAATCGCTAGGGGGGAGCAGCAGCCGCTTTTGCAACAGAATATACGCCAGGATGGGCTTCAGACTGAGCCGAGCTGGGTGTAGCGTGACCATCAATGGGCAACCAAAATGGGGGAGATGTGCACCATTACCAAGTCAATGAGTCGAGTCGAGTCATCACCCAAGACCAAAAGCCACGCTCTCCTTTATCTTTTGGCGTTTGTGCAGTTACGGCCGGTATCCCAGATAGTTTGCCCTTTCAAACACAGGTACTAGTACTTCACAACTCACAACATACGTTGCACCAGCCTTTCTAACTGTTCCGGAAAGTGATCTGTTTCTTTATCTGTCTGGATGTACTGCTAGCTAGCTTGTACAGTGATGCATCCCAATGCCAATACACATGCCAAGCTAACATGGGCCAACCAATGGATAGATACGCGCTTTGCTGCCGGAATACATGTAGTTCTTCTCCCGTTGCTGTTCCGGATAATGACGAGGTTCAGTTCTTCGAAGATCTTTCCGCTCTTTGGGACCTCTTGTTAGCTTGGGTTTCCCTTTTTCCTTTCGCTTCTTCGGAAATCCTCTCTCCTCATCAGAGTTTTCCTTCGCGATAGCATATATCCAACCGAACGGAACCAAGCGCATCACAACACAAAATATCCAACAACGCAAACAAACAATTCGAAAACCAAAACTAGCAAGAACAATCTATTTATTCAAAAAATGATGTCTCCTATTAGTGATTCCCAAACCGAGAGCCGTGCCCGTGCCGCACTTCGTATGGCACGCCGTGTGGTGGTGAAAGCTGGAACCTCGGTGGTCGCCAATGCTGATGGTAGCCCAAGTTTGACACGCCTCGGTGCCATTGTGGAGCAGATTGCCGAGCTGAATCAGGCAGGCATTGAAGTCATTTTTGTGTCGAGTGGCGCTGTGGGTATGGGCAAAAACCTACTCCGTAAGCAAGCTCATTTGAACATGTCCTTCAAAGACCTTCAAATGGGTGGCAACTCAGGTTTGAATCCAGTCCAGGACGCTGCCATTGGGGCCACGGGTGTAAACACTGCGGCAGGTCGCCTCAGTCCACACACTAGTATTGGAGATCTTCTGACGGTGGATGAACATATGGAAACTTCAGCTGCTAAGAGTTTCGCGGCTGCTGGACAGTTCGAGCTGATGAATCTTTATCAGTCTTTATTGTCACCCAAGGGCGTTACTGCATCTCAGATGCTCTTGACTCAGGCCGATTTTCACGATGAACATCACCTGAAGAACCTTCGCTATGCCGTGGAGCGACTTCTTAGCCTGGGAATTGTCCCCATTATCAATGAAAATGACGCTGTCTCTGTTGTTCAAGGTTATGACGACGGAAAGCCCGTCTTTACAGACAATGACTCTTTGGCTGCCCTGTGTGCCCGAACCTTTGGTGCCGAAGTGCTGCTGTTGTTGACTGACGTCGAGGGTGTGTTTAACATGCCTCCCTCCAATCCCAAAGCCAAGCTCTTGCCCTTTTACCATTCAAAATCTAATGTGTCCATTGGAGAAAAGAGTGCCCAGGGTCGCGGTGGAATGGCGGCCAAGATCGAGGCAGCACAAAGTGCTGTTCGTCCAGGATCCAACTGCGCTGCTTGCGTCATTGCCGCCGGCAGTGACTTGACTTCCATACGAAGCATCTTATCACCTGCGTACGATCCAGACTTTGGTCCTGCCAAGGGAACTTTGTTTGCCACTTCCGGCAGTGACTTGGAAAAACTAGCATTGGAGGAACTGGTGAATGCATTGGAGGTAAGACAGCTTTGATTCGTAATTGAACACTTTGTTCTGATTGTTGCTTGCTAAAAACTCAAACCATTCTGGACGCTTTCGCCTTGCATTTCTCCTCAGGACGAAGAATCTTGCTCGGAGCTTGCCCGTGATATGGCCATCAAGGCTCGAAAGGAAGCTCGCAAATTGATGACGCTGCCACATGCCACCCGCCAAAGCATTTTGAATGCCGTTGCCGATGCTTTGGTGGAACGACAAGACGAAATCATGCAAGCCAACCAGATGGACTTGGAGGCTGCACAAAAGAACAACACTTCTTTGCAGCTTGTCCGGCGATTAAAGCTTACTCCCGACAAGAGTGCCACATTGGAATCTGGCATTCGTCAACTGGCTGCCATGGATGATCACCTCGGTGTCGTAAAGGCCAAACGTGAGTTGTCGGAGGGTCTGGAACTATCCCTGACGACCGTTCCTATTGGTGTCTTGATGGTGATCTTCGAGTCTCGCCCCGATTCTCTGCCACAGATTGCCTCCCTTGCTCTGGCGAGTGGCAATGGATTGCTCCTCAAGGGAGGTAAGGAGGCACATCACTCCAATACAGCCCTCCATGAAGTCATTGGTGACGCCATTGAACGTGGTTCCAACGGAGAAATCAGTCGTGACATTGTTGCGTTGGTCACTACCCGCGGTCAGGTCAAGGACCTTTTGGCCCTGGATGACACCATTGATCTTGTCATTCCTCGTGGAAGCAACAGCTTGGTCTCCTACATCAAGGCCAACACGCGCATTCCAGTATTGGGACACGCGGACGGTGTCTGTCATGTCTATGTTGACAAGAGTGCCAAAGAAGAGGATGCCTGTCGGATTGCTGTAGATTCCAAGACCCATTATCCATCTGCCTGTAATGCAATGGAGACGTTGCTCCTGCACAAAGACACATTGGAAAACAATGTAGCCTTGAATGTCCTTCAATCGCTACGATCTGAAGGTGTCAAGTGTTTGGGGGGGCCTAAGGCAATGCAGAATGGTTTGTGCGACCTTGCCACAAACAAGATGAAGGAAGAGTACGGTGACTTGGTGTGTTTAGTGGAGATTGTCGATTCTGTGGATGAGGCTATTGACTGGATCCATCGATATGGAAGTGGCCATACCGAAGCCATCGTATGTGACGAACAGGATCCCGTGGGAGAAGAGTTCTTGATGCGTGTGGATGCAGCTTGTGTCTTTAAGAACACTTCAACAAGGTTTGCTGATGGCTACCGTTTAGGTCTTGGTGCAGAGGTTGGCGTTTCTACTGGACGGATTCATGCCCGTGGACCTGTTGGCGTCGAAGGACTTTTGACAACCAAATGGCAGCTTCGGTCCTCTGGTGGCGTCGTGAACCTGGCTTGTGAATTCGACGGAGCAGAGCCCAAGAAGACGTTTACCCACAAAGAGCTGATTCTTTAAAGTAATTGTGAGCACCCTCTCACTCGTAGCCTTGTAAACTAAAAGAGAGATATAGAAACTTGAGATGCAACTCAGTTTGACCTTATTCCACCTGGAGCTACCGGAACGGCCGAACCCAGACCTGATACCTGTACATGTATCGATAATCGATATCCTGCTGACTTCTTTGCCTTCGAACTGTTGCACCAACCCACCAACCAAAACTTTCTGACCTGCTGCACTTGCACCAACCAAAACATACCAGTATGTTGAGTGTGTTCTGTCTATCAGGACTTCTGACTTGACTCGCCTGTTGAAAGTACACGCATGAAGTGAAGTAGTCGGAGTGGAGCGGGAGTGCTGAGAGCTACCTGGTACCTGGTACCGTACCGTACGATCTTGGATGACGCAGCATACAGGCGGTAGCAGGATGTACCGTCGAAGATAAAAGCAATAATTCTTTGAGAAGCCTTGTTACGGTTTATTCCGTGAAACGACACATCATTATTTATTAATGATTGTCCTTGTTGGGGACAATCGAATTTCTCCTGCCGCCTTGCGCCAACGATGATCGCCTTGGCTCCGATGGGAGCTCTGAACTTTCGGAAGATTCGTCCAAGATTCATTCGACCCAAGCACAGTTCGCAGCAGCTTCATCCAAGTGCCCACGATGATGGAGGGTTGATTTCAGGAACCCGCGGAACGACTCTGTCACACTGAAACGATCCAATTTGTCAGGGCACAACAAAAGAAGGCTGAATCTCAGGGTAGCGACCTGGAGGGAGGCCGAGATTCGATTCGATTCGATTCGTCCAGTCTGTGGGGCTGTCAGTGGCATGCCAGCCCGTGTTACTACCATAGTCACCAATCTCGCTGAATCTGTGGTGAATCTGAGTTGAATCTGAGTTGAATCAATCTGTGAAGTTGAGAAAGCAACCAAAAAGACGTGCATCTGGTAGAGTTGACATCCCACGTACCGGTAGCTGCCTCCAATAGCCATCACGGCACAAGTTTGATATACCCCAAGCCGCTCCTCCTTATCCATACTAATAGTGCTTTGCGAACATACCATGGGCTGTGAACAATCCACCCCCGTCGATGACACCGCCAACCGCGGAGATGGGGCTGCGCAGAGAAGCGACATTACGGGTATTGGGCAAACCGAACGCCAGCTCTCCAAGATGATGCGAGATTCCATGAACAGCAACAGTGGAGCCCCGGACCCTCGGAAGAAGAGCCTGGCACTGCCCAAGCTCGACGAACAAGGCTTTCTGACGGCAGAAGAAGTTGCCAAACGGACCTTCAGCAGTATAGCCAACAAGGCCACCACTCTTGGGACAATCCACAATGTGACACATCTTCAGGTACGGTGGTGTTGGCACAATCTACTACGTTGAAATCCACTTTGCCTTGCTGGATACATATCTTGAGGGCCCTCGCCTCACACTTTGTGACTTACGATCTTCTTGTTCCCCATATTATATATCAGTTTGCCCAGTGGACACAACGAGGATACTACCCCGATGATCCCCACAAACAGAACCAGGATGAGTTCGGCACTCACTTGCAGTTTGCAGGAGTCGATAGGGACGCCATGTTTGCCGTCTATGATGGCCATGGCAAGAACGGACACGCTTGTTCCCAATTCGCACGAGAACGGCTCCCCAAGGCGATTGCCAAGCACGTGCGTAGAATACGATGCCAAAAGTATCAAAACACACGAGACAACAACAAGAAGGGTGGCTGGGATCCCAGTCGATGGCCCATGCTGAACCGAAAGGAATACGAGGCATGCTGCCGCAGAGCCTTCCTGGAAGTCAATCAAGCTATGCATGACGAGCCCACTGTCCCGGATAGCTTGAGTGGTACCACTGCCACCGCGGTCAATTTTCATGGAAACTTTGTTTCCGTCTCCAATGTTGGAGATAGTCGGGTCGTTCTGGGTCATAGAGTTAAGAGCAATCCGGACAACTCCATTTCAGTAAACTGCCGCATGGCCGAAATGGCCAGCGCCAGTGCGAATACCAACGCAAATGAAGAAGAAAAGTACGATATGGATGACGAAATCTCTTACAAGTCAGGTCGATTAGCTGTGGGACAGCCAGTTATTACACCTGGAGGCTCCTTTCAGACCCGACAGTTGCCGCCACCACCGGGAACTCGAGTCATCGCCATGCCTCTGTCCAGAGATCAGACGCCCTATCGCAAAGACGAACGGGAGCGCGTCGAAGCCCGAGGAGCCTGTATCATGACGACGGATCAAATGCAAGGAAAGGAAGCAGTACATAACGACTGGGGAGACATGGTCTTCGGTGAGATGTTGGACATCGAGGGAGACTCGCCTCGAGTCTGGATCAAGGGGGGCGACTCGCCGGGATGCGCATTTACCAGATCATTAGGTGATTCCTACTCGGAACCGATTGGCATCATTGCTGAACCTGAGATACTCACCACCGAACTGACCGAGAACGACGATTATTTGGTGATTGCTTCGGATGGTATCTTTGAGTTTATGACAAACCAAAACGTGATTGACCTCTGTGAAGCCAGCGAATCCCCTTTGATGGCTTGTGAAATGATTGTGAAGGCGGCCTATCAGCAATGGCTGAGCTATGAGAACCGCACTGACGACATTACGATCGTGGTATGCTTCCTACAGAATTTCAATCCTGCAACTATGGATGGAATCCACGGCACAACAGAAGACTTGGTGGAGAAGATGGCAAAAATCTATGGGACAAGACCAGCTCACATGCCTCAGCGCTCAACGGGTGGACTGGCCTATAGTGACCTTCCGTCCCCGGGCCACGACGATCGGAGCTCCGCTCTCACCCGGAGTATTGCAAGCCTTGAAGGCACTGCCAGCATTGACGAACTTGTCAATGTGGAAGATGAAGAAGTATCGGCATACCACACAGAGGAGGCACGAGCCGTTATCGTTGGCAGTGCAACGATGCCACAGCAGATGGTCTTCGATGATTCAGACAATTACGAGTGCATGGACTTTAAGATTGACGCCTTGATGGAGGAAGTCAACAAGGCCGACGCGACAACGAGCACTAGTACCGGTAAGACTGCCAGTGTCTCCATCACTTCTGGCGATGAGGAGGACCAAATTGACTCTGAAGAATCGTCCCTCCCTCTATGATAGGTGAATCCTACGACCACAGCAAGATTCCTGCTGTCCCCGCCATCGAAACAGTCAACGACGATCGAAACGCTATCCAAATATAGATACCGTGTCGGCACCGGTACAGTAGGAGCATGACACAACATTGTAGCCTAAACAAAGTACAAATAGATTATATGAGTGCTACAAGTGTACCGGTACCAGCAAAGGGCGGTGCTAGCTCGACGTGCGGAATGGACCTCCTCCCAACGACGAAACAGCGGTGTTGTTCTCGTGCTCGCTTGTATTCAGCTCCAGAAATTCGGGTCTCTTGGGCACGAGGACACCTTGAGCCTTCTGTTTTCGAACGGAAGATAAGATTTGGCGACAGGTCCGCTCCCAAATGTGGAGCGCTACGCTGCAGGAGCCGGTTCGGATGGACGGCAGCCCTTGTTGGCTGCGCCACTTGCGCATCTCCTTGGCCAGTGCACTCCCTCGATGACTGCCTGCGTGGACCAAACCAACTGCATCTGTGATGCCTTGGGAAGCCAGAAATGCGACCTGCCAAGGGCGAAGAATGGAATCCAAAGCGCATGGATTTAGGCGGTCGTCCTCAACCTTTTTCGGTTGTTTTCCACAGGTACAACCGACGACGATCTTTGGGAGGTAGAACTCTACATGTTCTGCGTTTTGCGCAAACATGGCCGAAGCGCATGTGCATTGGCGGGTATTGTCGAAGACAGCATTCAAGTTCGTGATTTCTACCGAATTGGCCGATGACACTGGTTGCAAAACCTTATCCATTGGTTGGGATGTTCCTGCGTCCTTTCCAGATTCAGCTGAGGCTCGTGGCCTGAATTGACTCGCTGCCGAAGAACAGGTTGAGGTGCTCTTGACGTCGTTCGCAACGATAGCCGCATCCGCCAGTTGAAGCATCCTCTGTGCCTTGATGCGAATGTAGTCACATTGAGACAGGTTGCTATGAGGGCTTGCATTTTCTACATCGTCGTTTTCGGCAATCTTTGTAAGTATTGCAAGAGTCGCACTCTCTCGTTCTGGATCGGAGGGCTGGGCGATTGCAGTGACGCGTTCTTCCTTCAAACGTCGGTTCTCGGATTCCACTTTGTCGAGACAATCTCGAAGCTCTGCTGTCATTGCTTGCTCCGTTGCAAGCAGCTCTGCCTTGTTGCTCAAATGAATCGTCAAGTCGGCGTTGCTCTTCTTCAATGATTGCATTTGCCGCCCGAACTCAGTTCGTTGTGCCCTTTCTTGGATTACGGTATCCTGGAGATCGGAAATCTTTTCATGCAGAGACGCGGTGACACTAGCATAGTCGGTTTGAAGAAAACTGTGTGTGGACTCCAATGATTGGATGGTTTTTGCCAAATTGGCAATCTTTGCTTCGTAACAAACAACGCATTCTTCCTTTTCCTGCCTGGCTTGGTCAGCATCTTGGGTAGCATTTGTCAATTTGTCCTCGAGCCCGGCAATTTGCGCACCGAGAATAGCCTTGTCACGATCGTGGAGACGCCTTTGCTTGTTTGCGTGTACAAGCTGCTGTTCCAACTCATCGCTGCTTTGCATTTGGTTCTCTAGCAGATTGAACTTGTCCTGGAGGCAAGACAAGGATGACTGCAATTGATTCTCCACGTTGCATGATGCGTCGTCAAGACCAATCGACGCTTCGGCTGTATCGAGTATTCGGCAAAAGCTGCGTTGGGGGCTGCAAAGATCAAGTTGATTGACGTCATTGGCAAGCTGTGCCACGAAGCGATCGAGATGAGCAACCTCCTCCTTAAGGCTATCGCGTCTCGCCGCGTCGCATTGTTGTTCCATTTTCGATTTCTCGTTGAGCTCCTCGAGCTCCTTTTTCTTGCTGTTCACTACGCCCTCTAGCGAATATAGTTCTTGCTGCAGCTCGTGGTACGACGCTTTCATTGTTCGAGCCTCTTCCGAGGCGATGTGAAGTTTTTCTTCCATTCTGGCTTGCTCCGATTTGAGGTCAGCGATTGCAGACTGCAGCGAATTTGTCTCTGCCTTGAGTCGAGCGATGTTTCCTTTTCGCTCCTCAACGATTGGTGAATTGGATCCTCGTCCCGACAATTCCGACATTTCAATTGACACAGAATCTTGTGGGCCTAACTGCAGAACACGACCACTGGAGATACCACCATGAGAAGACTCCTTTGATGCTTGAGTGGCAATTGATCTTTCACTAAGTTCGATTTCATTGGAAACTCCTGGCACCTCAACATTGCTCTGCAGGGGGAAAGTGACGTTTCGTGTGATCTTAGCGAGATCTTTGAAGTGCATCCAAACAGGCTTGTCCGAATTCTTTGTGATTTCGCTTTGTTGACTCTGGTCTTCCGATTTGGAAAAGGAAGATGTTGAAGAGGTCGAAGACCGCGAGGGCGGACGAAAGATTTGGGCATTGGGAGCAAAGGGGCTACAAATTTGAGGTTCGTGCTGTTCATCCATGTCTAGGAAGCTTCCTGACCTTGCGATTTCTATAGGCGAGAGTCCTTTCTTCGACTTGTGGGAGATCGCGGACTGCTGTGCAGTGGGGCGAAAGATTTCCTTTGTTGGATAAGGGGGGCTTGTTGGTGGCGGCGGGCTGCATAGGTGTGGCTCTTGATCCAAGTCCAGTAGCGCGGGAGCAGTTTCTCTTGAGATGTCGGCAGCAACTCGATTCTTCAATTTGATTACCATGGCCTTTAGACGCATATTCTCTGCTGTAATGGCAGCGCATTGCTTTGGAGACAGAGAAGTTCGGGCTACATTCCGTTTGATCGAATTAGAAATGGACCGAGCTCGTTCTGCATATCGAAGTGTGTTGATTGATTCCTCCATATCGATATCAGCTGGGGAAACACAAGATATGAAAACTGTAAAGCAGTTGCCACCAAGAGAGTCTCTGAGAAGACGAGTGAGTTTGCTGTCGCGGAACGGGACATGGGTCTGTTTTCCTTTCTTGCTCGCTGATCGATGCTTGTCAGCCAAGGCACTAACTACCTTCCCCAAAACAAACAAGTCCTTGTTGATTGTGATACTCTCTTGTTGTTGGACTCCAACGACGCCAGTCTTTTTGATTCGTTCCGATCCCGCGAGATCAACGAGTGTCAAACAAGCCTGAGTGATCTCTCCAGCCGTCCCTGCCAATGGGGTACACCTGACAGTCAAGGTACAGATGGAATGGGAGCGACTGGACTGCACGTTCTTCATTGTAGAAGCAGTGACCCGACGTTGTGCAGCATACGTCATGAGTGCATGGGCCTGTCTAACCGAATGAATGGGTGTTGTTGTCAGCCCTTCAATGAACACCCCTACTTCGCCCTGGTCAAGCAAAGCCAGGCTTTTGTAGTCATCATCACTCGTCATCAAGTCTCGAATTCCATCATTGTAGAGTTCATAAAATACCAGATCAATCGTGACATTACCCTTGCCTGAGGATTGATAGTCATTCTTCCCCTTGAATAGATCGTGAAGTGCACGGGGAATGATTCCTTCGTTCTCGGCCACATTGAAGTTGAGACCGTTGTCATCTGGGCTGATATTTTCCGAGTCGCTGTCAAAGGACGTTGTTCCTGTGATTCCATTGTTCTGGTCGTGAAGGCCCTGCATGGTGTGGGATTTGCCCGAAGCAGTTTGTCCATATGCCATGATCTGTAAAAGACAGAACAGAGGAAGCAACAAGAGAATCAGGGGATCACAAAGCAGGTGTATGTTGCAAACAATTCCACTCTCGATGTATACGTACTGTAACGTTGATTCCATTGAATATGTTCGTCGAGATTTTGTCGCCAACCGCAGTGGCATAGACTTGTTGTTGCGTAGCCTGCATCCCAAGGACAGCATCAAAGTTGAACTGCTTTTGCGAGTTAGGACCGACTGTTGCTAGCAGTGAAGTTGAGACAATGGAGGTTTGTTTTCTAGTTTTTAGGGGACTTAGACGAGACGAAGACTTTGGAGGAAGAAGAGAAAAGGAGGTTTTGGCGGAAGAAGAAGAAAGAGGAGGAGGAATGAGGCTCCCATTTTGTGGGAATAAAGGAGATCTGAAGTTGCTATTGTGCGGATCAAACTGCGTTGACTGGATTTGTTGCGGTTGATTATCTAATGAATCGATGGGAACAATTTGTGGAGCTTTGCCAAGTGCTACTTCGCCGTCAAGAAGCGGACGAATTCGAGTGATGACACGGATGTTGCTGGTTTTGACCGGTTTTGGAGATCGGAATGAATAAACACTCTTCGCGATCATCGGAGGCGAGGAAAAGAAGGCCCCGGCCCCCCTTGAGCTTGACGCATCAAGCTTGATGGGTGTCACCATCTTTCTTTCGCGTCGGTGAAAGAGAGTGACCAAAATTGTGCAGTGATGTTTCAGTGCTCGTTCCGGTTTCAGAGGAAAAAGTGAGGTCAGGTGAAACCGAGGACCGTTGATAAAACTGAATGTGAGAAAGATTTAACACAAGAGAACTGAAATTCTCACTTAGAAACGGTTCGCGGGCCCGCACCGTCGAAGCACATGATGTGCTCCCATCTTTTTTACCCATGGCTTTTCGTTGACAAGATGCCTCCGGTTGCGCCAACCACGGAAATAGAAATAGCCAAAGGGGGTGTCACTTGATTGGCAAATAGCTAACACTTACTGCCATGGGTTCCCAGAATGTATACGTGCTTTAGATAGCTGCTGCGTAATGGTTTAATCTACCTAAACCCCTGTTTATATTATTGAGGAGTGGAGTTTGGTTATATCTGGCCGGTACCACGTAATGGTCTAATCTACCTAAACCCCCCTTCATAATGAGGAGTGGAGTTTGGTTACATCTAGCCGTTGACATACGCACGTGTGTGACGTGGCGTCCTAACGCTAGTTTTAAGTCTAAGCTCACAATATTCCGATCGTAGTTCACTCTGAATTCAGAAGCAAGTTCGGTTGGAATTTGCACATCAAGCAAAAGAAACTTCCTGCGTACATTCTACGCAGCCGTGTACTAGGCGTTTGGCCATTGTCAAACAATTTCGAAAATTCGCTCGATTACTATTAACAACGGTAACTCAAGGGTGTAACTCAATACGAAGTTACTCCTTTTTCTTTCATTATCATTACTTGCGACTCTTACTAACACAAAGCCGCAAGTACTATTGTTTGTTATTTCCTTTTAGGTTCATTATCTCACCATGACGACGCTTGGTCAGTTGGGCAAGAATCCGGTCATTCCATTGGTCTCGGAGTACAATGCGAGCGATGTCGCTACTACTGAGTTGTTCCGTTCTTGGCAACATGCTGGAAACAACGTCAAGTGTAAGCATGATATGATTGTATTGGCAGACGAACAAGAACCGGAACACGTCCTTCGAGTCATCAAGGAGTTCGATCAAGTGACCGGCAACTCAGCATTGAATTTGGATACCGGGACATTGAGGGCTAACTTCTTTGTCAAATGTCTTCAAGGCTCTGCTCGAGACAAGTGGAACGTGATTCGAGCAGCGCGTCCTGGTGCAGCAGTTGCTGATTTCGATGCCTGTGTGACGTCGTTCATTGCTAAGTTCGTTGAAGACACGGATCTTGCTGATCAGACGCGATATTTGCAGACCGCGACCAAGCCATTCAAACTCGATTGCAAGACCTTGTGGTCTCGATTGGAGTACATCAATACCTTGATGGCGAAGTTTCCTGGTGCAAACAATGCGAACCCTTTTGATGCTGCTGCTCTCAAGATGATGTTTTATAACATGATGCTTCCCCAGTGGTGGAAAGACAAGTTTGCCGATTCTGCTCATGACATTACGGTTATCGGCTCAGTTCAAATGATTCACTTCTTTGCCCGTCAAGAAAAGAATTACAACGCTCGCTAACAAGGCTCTCGTGGCCGTGGTGGTCGCGGCCATTCTCGTGGTCGTTCTGGCCGCGGATTTGGAAGAAGTGGACGCTCTTCTGGCTATCGTCGTATCTATGGACAAGACGATGGTCCTCGAGCTGGTTACTATCCGCCTTCCCAGCGTTTCCGTCGTGGAGGATGGAGTCGAGCTCCTACCTGGACGTACAATCGTAGTCCTCCAAGAGAATACCAACGTGGACAACCAGACGGACAGCAACGCAACAACACTACTCCGGTGCGCAACTTTGCCGGACGTTTCGGTCGTGGTAACTATGCCTCATCACCTCGTGGTCGTGGACGTGGACGTGGTTACAGTCCTCGACGCGATAATTTTGTGGCTGCCGGTGATGTTCGCGAGGATGATGTGTTCCACGTCGAAGAACAATCCTCTACGGTTCCTGCGGCTGCTGCTATGCCGCCTCCTGAAGAAACAGACGAGATGTATTATCAGGAAGAGCCCCATTACTTTGATTCCATGACAGGGGGTTACGATGAATATGAAGAGTTTTATGGATACGGTGGCGATTACTGAACCTCTACTAAGGTCTTTGAGAATTATGCAGCGGCGGCTGAGGGAATCAATGTGGACAAGGACTTGGTGCCGATGGCGCTTTGCGTCCTACATAGTATACAAAATAAACCGTCTGATAGACCGTTATTAGTCCCGATGGACTCTGGTTCTAGTGGAACCTGGATTAGTGAAAAGGCGTTGCCTAAGGGAACAGTCCCTCGTATTGGAGACGTTGTATCCACCACGACATTGGCTGGCAACGTCCAATCGAACCGTGTTGTTACCTTAGACCGGTTGTGTTTTCCAGAGTTCTACAAGTCCCGTTTCATCGATGTTGCCCATGCTCGAGTCTTTTCCGCGAGCAATGTTCAGTATGATATGATCATTGGACGCGACATCCTCCTTGAGATGGGATTGAAGATCGATTTCAAGGGACACAAGATGACATGGGACGAGGTTAGCATCGACATGAGACCTTTTCCTTCGTCTTCAGTTGACAAGAAGACTCCTCCTGCTACATCGATGTTCCTTGATCTTCTTGAAGCAGATCTCGAAGATGACGATACTCTGCCTACCGTGGCTTCCACGGATTGCTGTGAACAAGATGACTTGGATGATGATTTGGACGACATGCTCCCCGAATCCGAAAAAGAATCTTCATGTTTTGCAACTCGTGAAGAAGAAGAGAAGGCAACAGACTTGGGTTACAAGACCAAGCACATCCTCGAATCTAAGTATGAAGGGGCCGATATTACCGCCGTTGTTCGGTCCTGCACTCATCTTTCTCAAGAACAACAGAATGACCTTCGTGGTGTCCTTGAGAAATATGACACCTTGTTCAGTCCTGAACTTGGTAAATATACCGGCGGACAAATTAGTTTGGAGATTGATCCTACAGTTCCGGCCCATCGAAGCCGACACTATACTGTTCCTCATCACCAACAAGACATTTTCAAGAAAGAATTGGATAGGTTGGTTTCCCTTGGCGTTCTTGAAGAAGGAAGTCGTTCCGAATGGATTGCTGGTACTTTCATCATCCCGAAGAAGGACGGTCGAGTCCGGTGGATCTCTGATTTCCGTGGTCTCAACAAAGCAATCAAGCGCAAGGTTTATCCAATTCCTCGCATCGCTGATATCCTAGCTCGCCGCAAGAACTATGCATTCCTTACCAAGTTGGATATCTCGATGCAGTATTACACCTTCGAACTTGACGATTTCAGTTCCGAATTGTGTACCATTGCTACCCCTTTTGGGCTTTACAAGTACAGACGACTACCAATGGGCGTTTCTCAATCTCCGGATATCGCTCAAGAAATCATGGAGAAGTTACTCAAAGCTCTTGATGACATCGAAGTCTATATCGATGACATTGGTATTTTCAGTTCCGATTGGCGCTCTCATCTCGACAAGCTCGATCAAGTACTCAAGATCCTACAAGAGGCCGGGTTCACAATCAATCCATTGAAGTGTGAATGGGCCGTGCAAGAAACAGATTTTCTGGGACATTGGTTGACTCCCATCGGTGTTAAGCCTATGGCAAAGAAAGTGCGCGCCATTCTGGACATGAAAGCACCTACTGATATCAAACAATTACGTTCGTTTCTCGGTTTGGTGACTTATTACCGTGATATGTGGCCTCGTCGTTCTCACACCTTGGCACCTTTGACAAAGCTGATTGGTACCAAGAAATTTGAGTGGACCGACGAGCAAGAACAGGCTTTCAAAGCCATGAAAGCTGTGGCGGCAGCTGATACTCTGCTTGCCTATCCCGATCACAACGTTCCATTCGAGATTGATACGGACGCTAGTGATTATCAGCTCGGTGGAGCTATCAAACAGAATGGACGGATTATAGCTTACTACTCCCACAAGCTCAATTCCGCCCAAAAGAACTATACTACCATTGAAAAGGAATTGCTCTCCATCGTTGAAATCTTCAAAGAGTTTCGGTCTATGTTACTCGGAGCTCGTATCAATGTGTTTACTGATCATAAGAACCTTACTCACAAACTTTCCGCTTTTCAAACTCAACGTGTTATGAGATGGCGATTGCTGTTGGAAGAGTTTGGCCCAACCTTTCATTACAAACCGGGCCCCCAGAACATCCTTGGAGACGCCCTCAGCCGGGTGCCCACTTCACGCGAAGATCGTGACAGTGCCAATTCCGATCCTCTTTCTACATTTGCTGACGGATGTTATTCCATTGTGGAGGAGAATCGACGGTTGGCCGAATGTTTGATGCATCATCCCGACGACGGTATGGAAGAATCTTTCTTGGAGCATCCTACATTCGACGGTGAAGGACGGAATCCCTTCAACTTCTCGGTTCTCGCGGAGTACCAAGCAGCTAGTGCAGAATTGCAACAGACCGTGGTTGATAACCCGGAACGGTTTTTCAAGAAGATGTTTGGAAACAGTGAGCTGATATGCTTTCGTCAGAATGACGAGGACAAGATTGTCCTGACAAAAGAGTTGCTTCCCAAGTTGGTCAGCTTCTATCACAAGTCCATGGCACATGTCGAAGGCATGGATCGTTTAGAACAAACGATCAAGACACATTTCTATCATAGAGGTATTCGCGATGAAGTCCGAAAACAAATTGAGCAGTGCGAAGCATGTGCGAAGAACAAACGAGCACGACGTGCTTATGGAGAATCTGCTCCACGTGATGCTACGGCGATGCCCTGGCAAGAAGTCCATTGTGACACAATCGGTCCGTGGAAGATTGAGTTACGACAACGGACGTTGACTTTCAACGCTATGACTATGGTGGATCCTTGCACAAACTTGATAGAGATTGTGCCTATCATGCGACGCACGTCGGAAGAAGGTGCCCGAGTGGTCGAAGATACGTGGTTTGCTCGGTATCCTCGACCTAAGAAAGTGGTTACGGACAACGGTCCGGAGTTCAAGCTGGAATTCATTGCGATGGCGAAAAAGAATGGTGCAGTGCATCGCTACTCGTCCCCTCGTAATCCACAAGGTAACTCGATGATTGAACGGACTCATCAGGCAATTGGTCAAGTATTGCGAACCATTGTGGTTTCGCGTGATCCCAAGAGTGTTGCTGATGGAATCAAGGTCATTTCCGAAACCTTGGCGACAGCGATGCATGCTCATCGTTGTTCCGTGCAGAGTACGAACGCGTATCTCACTCCTGGTGCTCTTGCCTTCAAACGAGATATGTTTCTTGATATTCCTATTTATGCAGACATCCTGACCGTGCAACGACATCGTCAATCCTTGGTTGACAAACGTTTGCTGCGGGCCAATGCTAAACGCATTTCCTATGACTACGCGGTCGATGACCTGGTCTACAAGCGTGCGTATCTTGGTCTTAGTGATAAGTTGAAGCCTACGGCTTCTGGTCCCTACCGTGTTTCCCGCGTTCATACCAATGGCAACGTAACGATTCAGCTCAGTCCTCATCAGTTCGAGCGACTGAACATTCGTCGTGTGTTTCCAAAGCATCCAGTACCTCCGGTTGCCACCGGTACGGGTTATTGAGGTTCCCCTGATTCATTTTCTAAATATTACTGATGCTCGGCGCCTATTGTTGCCTCACAGTGGAGGAGAGTGACATACGCACGTGTGTGACGTGGCGTCCTAACGCTAGTTTTAAGTCTAAGCTCACAATATTCCGATCGTAGTTCACCGTTACCACGTAATGGTCTAATCTACCTAAACCCCCGTTTATATTGAGGAGTGGAGTTTGGTCACATCTGGCCGGTACCACGTAATGTCTAATCTACCTAAACCCCTGTTTATATTATTGAGGAGTGGAGTTTGGTTACATCTGCCGGTACCACGTAATGGTCTAATCTACCTAAACCCTCTTATATTGAGGAGTGGAGTTTGGTTACATCTGGCCGTACCCGTAATGGTCTAATCTACCTAACAAACCCCCGTTTATATTGAGGAGTGGGTTTGGTTACATCTGCCGGTACCACGTAATGGTCTAATCTAGCTAAACCCCCCTTCATATTTAGGAGTGGAGTTTGGTTACATCTGGCCGGTACCCGTATGGTCTAATCTACCTAACAAACCCCCGTTTATATTAAGGAGTGGAGTTTGGTTACACTGGTACTGGCCGGTACCACGTAATGGTCTAATCTACCTAAACCCCCCTTTCATATTGAGGAGTGGAGTTTGGTTACATCTGGCCGGTACCACGTACTGGTCTATCTACCTAACAAACCCCCGTTTATATTATTGAGGAGTGGAGTTTGGTTACATCTGGCCGGTACCACGTAATGGTCTAATCTACCTAAACCCCCCTTCATATTGAGGAGTGGAGTTTGGTTACATCTGGCCGTTACCACGTAATGGTCTAATCTACCTAAACCCCGTTTATATTGAGGAGTGGAGTTTGGTCACATCTGGCCGGTACCACGTAATGGAATAATCTAAATAACCCAAGTTTTAACCATACAGGCAGCTTCGCTTTACTGATTCAAACGCGTGCCGAGCTTCTCAGTGGACTTCTACAGGACCTCTCGTAGAAGTGTACCAGAAGATCGAAGCTGCTCGTACCATACCGGTGCTGGTGCGCAGAGGCAAACTCGGCTAACCCTAACCCTACAAAAAGGACCAAAAAAAGGGACGACCACAACAAAATTCTAACCCAGCCAACTCCGTGGTTGGCGACTTGCTTTTGACAGGTCGTCAGCCAACAACCGCTCCCCCACATCCCACAGTCGAAAAGCTAAGCTTGAGAGGAGAAATGCTGCATGCAGAAGGCTGATGAAGGAAGGCTTCAGCAACAACACAGAAGGATCGAATCTTCGATCTTCGATCCAATCGTCCATTGAGCTTGGCGAAACAAGGACACATATCAGAACCAGAGGGAATTGAAATCTGGCAAGAAGCAAGAAATCAAACAATGACAGACTCGCAAGAAAACAAAAAATTGCAGGAGGAGATTGAACTATTGCATAGAAGAGAAAATACTCTTCTACAGCTTGTTCGCAGGGGGTTAAAGAAACAGATCCAGATAGGCGATATTCCATTGGAGATTCAAGATATTTTGTTTCCAGATAAAGAAAGTTCGTTTCCAGATAAAGAAAGTGTATTGCACGCTGTGAAGAATGGTACGCTTCGATGGTCCACTTTGCCCGAAAATCTCAAGTGGAAGTATGATGCCGAAGTAGTTTGTGAGGCCTTCGAGCGGGATAAAATGGACTCATTGGTCATCAAGGCTACCCGTAGCGAGGCCTACTATGCAATGACGGAAGGCTTACACAAGCCAGGAATTTTGTGGCAAGACTTGCCCTTTGAGCTGAAGCTGAATCCTGATGTTACATTGGGTGCTCTTCGAACCAGACAGGGCCCAGCCCTGAATTGCATCCCGCCCCAGTTCCAAAACTGCTTTTCTTTTCTCTCAGTTGCAATTCTATTCGAAAAACTCTCCCTGGAAGAGGTGCCAACAGAAGTCCTGCAGAAGGATCCCGAATTGGCTCTTTTAGGCGTACAGATGGGAGAGTTCTTGGCTGCTGATTGTCCCATTTTGACTCCGGAGGTCCTTCGAAGGGCTGTCAATGAAAGCAAACTAGAGTGGGAGGATTTGCCATTTGCCCTTCAGCAAGATCTTGGGTTCGCACTTGGTATCACAAAAACGGAAATTCTTCAACAGATGCTTCAAAGCTGTCCACAACTTTGGAATCATCAGGAGTTCTGGCTGAAGGTTACAAAACAAACTTACGTTTCACGCGTACAGATGCAGCATATCTCTCTTGAACTGCGCTCCAATTCTGAATTCATGATTGAACTGTGCGTTAACTGTGCTGCAGCATATGCGCTTGTTGATGAGGATCTGTCAAGCAGTCGGGATTTCCTGGAGCAAATCCTACAAGGAAATGGATGTGTGATCAAGTACCTCTCCCATGAACTTCAAGAGTTGCATATTGATCTGATCATCCAGGCCCTGCCTAGCATTCGTGTTGAATGCAAGAAAGAAAACGGTTTGGGAAGAATTTTAGCCCGTGCATTGTCTCCAGCGATCTGGACACAACGTGATTTTGTTTTGAAATGGGTCCAAGCAGGTCTCAGCCTTCCAAGCAATCTCCCAGACCAGCAACTAGAGATATTGGAGCAAGATCAAGAGATCTGTCTTGAGAATGTAATTGCTCAAAAGGCATTCGAATATAGGTTTGGCCAACAGTACACTGGTGATCCTGCGTTTGTGCTCAAAGTTGTCAAGCACCACCCATTCCTGTATACACAGGCAACAGGTTCTGCAAAGATATGCCTACAAGTGATGGCAGCAGCATTTGCGGGATGCCCGGAGATTGCATATCGCGCGCTTGCTGATTTGCCTTTCAAGGAACAAACCAACCTAGTTCGGCGGCTCCAAAAGTACATACACAATGAACTTGAGCCATACTCTACATTTTGCTCATGTGTACTTGGAAACATGATCTCGACCCAGTCAATGGCATCAACCGGGACATCTTTGACACTTCTAAACCAAGGGCTGGAAACGTCACTCCGTTACAAAAAACTGCTGGCCGAGTACCTTGGCATTCCTAGAGGAAGTGATCTGAAACGCCTCCTCCGAGCAAGAGACAATGTCCACAAGGCCACCGGTACCAGGTACTGCCCCTTGGTCTCTTGAGCACCTCTATCACGATTGATGAAATAAAGGCATGGAATGGCATGCATTGGTTTCGGCACCTCGATAGATAATCTAGCTTTAGAAAACACATAATTCTTTGCTGGTGGCTTGCATCCTTATTTCTAGCTAGTAGAATCGAATCAGAATCATATGGCATCCTTGTAGTGAAGATCAGCCAATGAATTGATACTGCCGTACCGTGACGAGGCATGGTCCGCCATCTTGGGTGTGTCCATATCTACCGTATACTGTACTGTGTGTTGGCAACGTGCCTACCGTATGACAGTACGAATTCTAAGTTTGATTCCAAGCAAATTCTTTAGTAGCAGTTGTATCTTCTATTTAGATTTCAACCTTGCTGGAATCGAATCGGGAATGTTGCCATCCGTGCTGAGGCCAAGCAAATTGTTTAGTAGCAGTTGTATCTTCCATTTAGATTTCAACCTTGCTGGAATCAGGAATGTTGCCATCCGTGCTGGGGCGCTGGGGAAGATTACGGTGCATTTGAGAAGGCATCTTATCCAAAAACATCGATAGGATACTCAACGTATTAGGGCGCTCAATGGGGTCTTTGCCGTCGGCACGTTGCTTCCGAATAGACCTGACATATGCCTTGCATGTATTGGACCAGATCTGCAAGGCCATGCCACAGCTGCCAACTCGAAACGTTGTCATGTCGTTCTTTTGGCGCCAATTGTAGAGGGATTTGGACAAGGATCTGGAGAAGAGAGAGAGACGCGATTTGTGTTGGCTTAGCCTTCTCCATAAACACTAACGCTTGAAAGGTACCTTGCAGTACGAAAAAGCTACTTACCTCGCACTTCGATGGTGGGCCTTGACCAACTGGTCGCCCTTCACAATGCCAAACGCCTTCAAAAAGGATATTTGCCACGGCCGCAAGATATTCTCCAGCGAATTGGGATCTTCAGGGTTCACCAACTTTTTGGATTTGCGACAAGAGCAGCTCACGGACACAAGTGGAAGAAAGAAATCCACCATTTCGTCCCTCTCCGAGAACAAAGCCAACGAATGCTCGCAATCACATTCAAACTGGCCGCCACGGGCCTTCTCCATCGCCGTTGCCATGTTTCGGACCAGCAAATCCTTTCTCCACGGTCGATCCGAATATTCTGGGGTCACGGCACTTGCTCCAACCATCTCGTCGAGCATTGTCTCCCGAAGAGGGGTTTCTGCCATTGGTTCCTCGGCGGCAGCAGCGGCCTCCTCGCCATCTTCAGGTTTTGTCTTGCCGGACGGAGGAGTGGTTGAGGTCGTCAGATGAATCTCGTTCACTTTCTTGTCCAACGTCCGGAGAGTCTCTGTGCGGAATGAAATGTGCGTCACTTGGCTCTGCGAATCGAAACTCATGCTGTCTGCGGGGCCTTCAAGAATGTCGTGAAGATTGGTAAAGTGCATCTTGTTCTGGATACTTGGTTCGACGCTACGATTATACTCGCTTTCTCCAGCCATACTCCTCAAGTCATTCGATTGTAAACCGAGCGAGACTTCGTCGTCCTTCATGACAAATATTTCCTTGCAAGGAACAGAACTGGACACCGGTGTGTAACTTGTGTTTCGGGAGTTGTACGTGTTGTCACTTCTTGTGGGACGATGGCGCATCACATCACGAGGCTCGAGCAAGGTGTCGTCCCCGGGCGACAAGAACGACACGGTCGATTTGGGAGAAAGGCTGTGACGAGAAGGTCGTTCACGTGACGGCAATACAGGAGTAATCTCAAGAATCATATTGTTGACCTGCTCCTCCTGTTGTTCTTTGATGGCTTCAGCCGATGACTTGTCAGCAAAAGCCATCTTATTGAGTTTATGGTAACTCTCTCGGCTCTTTTCTCCAAACGACTGCAGTGTTGGCGGCTGGGTTGGTGTCTGCTTGGAGCGTTGAAGGAATCGGGACAGTGCGTTCCTATTCTTGGAAGGAGTTGGCCACGGGTGTGGCTTTGCCGCTGCTGCTGGTGCAGTTGCTGCATGTGGGTGCTGCTGCTGGGAACTCACAGACGGTGGATTACCTGATTCGCTCCTGTCGACAGCATTTTGCATGCGACGTCGGCTCGGTGATAAGACAGGTGTGGTGTCAATAATCGATGACGACTGAGTCTTGTTGTTGGCCTCCGTATTGTTGCAACTCTCCACCAGTGCAAGTTTTGTCGGTTGTGGCTTGGTTTGCTTCTTGTTGCTGCTGTTTTTGGGGTTGCCACCTAGCATCTTACGTCTACTGCTTGGCGAAACTACCGAGGTTGTATCAATACTGGCACGGGCTTGTATGGATATGGCTCTTGGTGCGGGTCGTTGTTGGAATGACTGCACACTACGACCTGCTGCTGCCTGTGGCGATCTCACAAAGCCCCTGGACGCATTTGGGGATCTCACAGAAGCCGCCTGCGGGGATCTTTGCGTGGGCCTTGATGCTGCTGCCTGTGGTGACCTGACCGTGGGCTTGGGTGACAATGCCGCTTGCGGTGACTTCACTACCGGTATGGGCCTCGACTGTGGCGACCGTACAGGAGAAAGCTCTCTGGGTCTCGGCTGTGCCGTTCGCAAGGGTGAAAGTTCTCGCGGGGACAAGAAATGCGCATTGGGATTCCCGTCACTCTTGTCTTGCCACTTGCTCAAGAGAATGGAGAATCCTGCTCCATTGCGTGCCTTGGGCTTGCTGTTGTTAGTGATTCTGGATGGCATGCTCTGACGATCCTTTGGTTTTCGAATCCTGGCCGTGCTGCAGCTTCCAGTGGTGCTCTGAGTCCTATCGCTTCCATTCGTAGATTGACTGGCGTGACTTTTGTTGCTCATCTTGCTTGCTTGCGTCGCTTGACTCTTTTTGCTAATGTGACTCTTGTGAGAGGATTGACTTCTTTTGCTGGCCTGAGACGATTCAGCCGAGGATGCCTTGGTGATGGTCCGAGGCTGACTGCTCTGGGACGATGGTGCTGTTGACGACTCTGTCGAAGATGCCGTAGCAATTCCCGGCGCCTCGGGTCGACGTTTGTCTGTTGGCTCTCCTGCCATCAGCCCCTTTCGCTTCCAGACGTTGTAAGCCCATTCGTAAGGGTCTTCGTTGGGTCCTTCTTCGTCAGCGGTTGGTTGGGACTCTTCTTCTTCCTCAGGAGGAGGCGCACCACCACCAGCATCCACACCCGCAGAGCTTGTTGTCGTTGTAGATTCTTTAATGGAAGGAGGACCTTCCGTCGACGATGCTGTCGAACCTGAAGGTTTGATATTATCCAAGCTATCAATGGAGTATGCCATGACCATGGGATCTCGCATCATCATGTCGAATGTCGTGGACTGCGTCGACTGGGTCGAAATAGTGGCGGAATGTTGGATCTCTGGAAACCCATCTTGTTCGTCGTCGTCGTCGTCGTCCTCATCGTTGCTGTTGTTGTTGTTATTATTGGCAGGATAAAGTGGAACACCTTCTTCCTTGACGAATTCTGCGGCCATTTGTTCGGAAGTTTGTCGTTGTTGCTGCTCGTGATTTTGATCGTGTGGTTGCAACAAGTTCTGGTTGGCCAGCCAGTGGGATGTGGGTTCTTGGATGCACCCTGTGGAGAGTCGACGTTTGGGGAATTCGGCGCCTTGATCTGCCATGATGACTTGGTGATGAAAGCGCCCTGTTTGTACAACCTCATTATTATGGTTGCGACGACGATTCTTATGATACCGATACTTATCGGCGTCTCCAGCGGACGCCGCCTTGGGTAAGACGTGTAGCGGTGCCTTTCCAGGAGACGGAGAAAACGATGGCGGTGGAGACGACGGCTTAAACATGGTCGACTTGTTTGGAAAACTTCTTGAATGTTGATAATTGTTGTCATCATCATCGTCGTCATCATCGTCGTCGTCGTCATCGTCATCATTGTCATGTCGATCGGGCAGTATATCCATGAGCCGCGACAAGTTTTCGATATCTTCTCGTGGATAATAGTCATGGTAGTCGTGATCGTCTTCGTCGGCAGCCGTAGTTGCCCAAAAGCGGTTCAACATGGGAGACGACGGAGTTTCTAGAGGGGTGGTTTTGGGCGAAGGATCGACATCATCGGAGAGCAACTCATCTAACAGATCATCGTAGTGGGCATCGAAATTCAGTCGGAAAGGATGTTGTTGTTGTGTTGTTCTTCTTCTTGGTTCCTCTTCTTCCTCCTCCTCGTCGTCATGAGACTCGCAGTCTGGATGTCTTGGCGGCTGTTGGTTGTTTCCTCGTGCCTGCATCTTGCTATTGTTGTTGTTATTGTTGTTGTTGTTATTGTCAGTTTTACCAGTAGTTTGACACTGGAATCCTTTCCGCTTCTGCCAACACCCGTAACGAACCCGCATTCGTGGTAGGAGATGATTTGGCGATTAACAGGAACCGTACAAAACGTAAGTGGAGAGACGAAAGATGTGAAGATAAATGAGGCGACGATATTCCAATCTTTGCAACCATTCAACCAATAACATAACACTGCTTGATTATCATGGCACTTACATGATGGTGATGACAAACAAGTTCGTTCTCCAAACTCCTTCTCATGAAAACCTGAAAGTGAAAGAAAGGCAACGACACCTTGAGGAGAGTTCCTTTATTAGAGCTGGAAAAAGAGCGAAATTGTGAGCACCTCCTTCAGAGCACGCTGACCAACGGACACATGACTGAATGTCAGTACGGTACTAAGCAGCTTACAGGAAACAAAAAGGAAGCTTCCACAGTAGAGATGAGGATAAAATCACGAATCGACCCGTTCGACCCCAAAGCCAACAAGATCCAAAACCAGCAACCCAAGCAACTGCCAAGCCAACAACACAAATACACAAACTCTCCCCCTCTCTCTTGCCAAGCAACAACAACCACTGACTAAATGACTAGCACCATGACAGCCCCTGTGGACGCCCAAGAACAAGCCCGCATCGACAACAAGATCACGGCCGATCTGAACGTTGTCATTGACAAGATGGATCTACTGGACAGCATGCTAAAACCGGGTGCCGATTCTCCCACACCATCTGTCAAAAAGCACGAAGCATTGTTGGCCGTGATTGGATTTTTGGAAGCGTGTGCGCCTCGCATGGTGGAATTGGTCGAAGCCGCCGCACAGGGACTGTTATCGGGACATGTCTTGGAAAAGTGTCTGGCGGTGAATGATCGCCTTTTGAAACAATTACAAGAAATTGATACTCTGGCACTCACCGAAACGGCAGCATCGACCACGGCCGCATCGGTGCCCGTCAAGGACATGGCCGAATTACTGTTGGACGACGATGATGACGAAGATGATGACAAACGAAAACAAGCGCCACCAGCAGGCACCAAATCTACAGGAGAAGACGAAGAAGACAATGGAAAACTTCCAGCTGCAGAGGATGGAAAAGTACCTGCTGCCGATGAGGATGGAAAAATGCCAGCCGAAGACGATGGAAAAATGCCAGCGGCAGCAGCACCAGATGTGGCGGCAACAGGTGAAAAGGACAGTTTTGATGACTTTTTTGCAGAACGAACGGCTGCTTTTACAAGTAATAATCAAGAATGAATGACGCGACAACCCAGACGACAATTTGCGGTCTTTAGCTTGATCAATCTGTGATTTGGGAAGATTCAAAGCCCTACAAACAAACACAACAACGCCATAATTTCCCTCCCTCTCTCGCAGTGATGATGATATCAAAAAATGTATAGATGAAGAGCTACAGTAGAAAACACCACCTCTAAAGTACAATTGCTTCCAAAAAGTCAATCAATCCACGATGGATCTTTTTGTTTGGTTTGGCTTGCGGATTTTGCTGGTCGTTCTTGTGGTTATGTAGTTTGCTACGAAGTAAAAGTTCAGTCTTTGGTGTACGGTACCGTACTGTAACAGTTCCCACTTGGTCACTTACTTTAGCCTCGACTGCCACTCCCAATAATGGTTGGCATAACTTAGCGGAACATGCCTGCCGGTAGCACACACCTCCCGATGCATGCCCAATTGCTACTGACGATTTTTAAAATAATTCCACAGAAGGACTGTTTATGGCTTTCCTAGCTAGCTAGCATTGCGCGTTGGACCTAGCTACCTACATGTAGAGCAAGGAACAGCTGAAAATCTTGACGTCGTCCCCCCTTCAGTGCTACCCGAATGAAATGAAGAAGCAAGGCTGATTGTATCGACGAGCTTTTTTTGGCTTGTTTGGTGAAACACCATGGATTAGATCACAGCTAGGGATTTGGGAAAACAACTGGTTTCGATACTTTGTAAGAAGAGATGATGGAAGATGCAGGTTTTATAAGAAAGGCCCTGCAGCCAGTTGGTAGACGCTTTGCCAACAGGAGCACATATTCAGCATGTGCTGGTTCGATTCGATTCTGCTCCACCATTGCATTCAGAAGAGAGAGGTGATGTTTACCAAGCCCAAGAAACAAGCCCACATTCTACGCATGGGAAGTAGAGTGAATCGCAGTGGAAACCAAATGTTCCAATTTCAATAGGCGACCTGTCCTTATCAGGTTTTGATCCAACTACTACTAGAGTAGACTATTCTATTGCCAATCAAAACTACAGCTCTTTCATTTTCTTGCTTTATTTCTGTCTCTTTCTTTCATCTTCTTACACTACACCAGTATGTATGTGCCGTATGTAACAACATCATCATGCCTTGACTGCACCTTCCAAATCTCGTAGTTTGCCCAGCACTTCTTCACTGTGTCGTGGAATGTGACTTTCCACATCATTAAAAATCCAACGCAATTCTCCATTGGGGTCAATCAAGTAGGTTTGACGATTGCTAAATGTTCCAAATCCGGGAATGGACAGTGCCGATCCATATGCCTGTGAGACCTTTCCTCCTTGATCGGAGAGCATGAAAAAGTCGAGATTTTCGGCACTGCAAAATGCCTTGTTCTTTTCGACAGGATCCACCGACACTCCGACAATTTGGGCATTGAGTTGTCGGTATTGGTCAATGTCTCGTTGAAAGTAGCGGGCTTCCAACGTGCAACCGGATGTAAAGGCTCCGGGATAAAAGTAGAGGACGGTCCATTTGCCAGTCTTGACGAGATCCTTGAGCGTGGTGGTGCCTTCGCCACGACTGTTGGGTAGTTCAAAGGTGGGAGCGGAAATGCCCGTTTGGGGCACGGCATTCGCCGGAGTGACAAAGGTAGTGGCTGTTACAGCCGTGACGGCGGCAGCAGCCGTTTGAAGAAAGGCTCCTCGACGACTGACTTCTCCATTATGTTGCTGGAGTGGATTGTTGTTGCTGTTGGGCGCCAGGGCGGATGCGGACAGAGTCCACAGCAGACCGAGCAAGATAGATCTTTGGAGCATCATCTTGGCTTTTGGGTGTCGTTAAACTTGCTTGATAGTCCTTTGGGAATATATTCAATAGATGACAAAAGATGAAGACTCGTCCTTCCTTTCAGTTGCCACCTTGTTGTGGCTATTTCTCTGACTGAGTCATCAAGTTGTCAGCTTCGACCGTCATGGTCCCAAATAGATTCGATTGACTCATTCGACTAAAAGTTCTCACAAACTCAGATCTTTTGACAGTTAGTGACAGCCTCCTCTATTTCCCGTGTTCGATTGCCATGGTTGGGACGGCTAAAAGAAGAACCACTCTGAGCGCGATCGATCCTTTACAAGATAGGTTGGCACCATTCATGCATGGCTCCAGCCAGCTTCACTTGACTCCACGCAACCTCCTTGCCATCATTAAAATCAAGCTGAAGAAGTTGTGAAAGAAACCATGGTGCGCTACCTTTGGTCGAGGATCCTCGTCCTCGTCACATCGCTCTGTTTCTCAGCAGCCAGTAAAAGTACTGGAAATGGGGATCATCAAGCCATCAAGGTTCTCGATGTAGGTGGTACCCTCGATGCCGACCCGGCCTTGCAGATTTCCGTCCTCTCTTGTATCGGGTTATTCAATCGCAACGAGAGCATTGCTGGAGCCGCATTCCCCGTTTGGTATCAATACGATCTCGATTGGCTGGCAGCCATTGAGCACATTCAAGATCCAACCTATACCAAGACGTGGGATTTCTTGGTCGAGTGCCTCACCACCGTTGCTCAGGGACGGTACATTGCCTACAAATTTCGGCCCCAACAAAAGCTTGTCCCCAACATTATCACCTTGGCAGGAGTACTCGATGCCATTCCTCTCACCATGGACTCCAACATCACTACGGCACTCCTGGCCAAGGTGGCCAATGCCACCATGGTATTGGACGCGGAAAAGGAATTCGACGGATTCTCGGCATACGATGCCACCAAGTACGTCTACGAAAACTACGCCAACCTGACCACCACCCTTTGCAAGTTGGATCCAGGATATGACTTTTCCCACCCGCATTTAGACCCACCTTGTAATGGCCATCCCGCGTCGGGATCGGTCGATTATGTGGTCAAGGAACGACTCTTTAACTTTTACCTGGTGGAAGGATGTATTGCCCACACGCAAGAAAATGCTCTCGTTGCGGAAATGACACAACACGACAATCCCAAAACCAAACAATGGCCACAACCCATTGCTGTATTGGGATATGACGACGTCCATATCGGACATAGCTTTGATCCATGGGAGGCCCAGACCAGCTGTGTCAAGAATCACAACATGGGTGGGGTCTGCACCGATTGGGCTACCGGACTCTCCTTTTGGTCGCGAAAGGCACCCATTCAAAAGCCACTGGTACAACCGTACACTCCTCCACAAGTCTACAATGATTCGACAACCTACATTGCCTTGGTGGTGGGAGATGGGGATAATGTGGGAATGATGAAAACACGCAATCTGGATTGGACCCGCAAGCGAGTCAGCTACTGCCGTAATGCCACCATGCCCCACAATTGCTTTCCCATTAGTTGGACCATTTCCCCTCATTTGTTGCATTTTGCGCCCGACATTGTCCAATATTACTTTGGGCAAAACACGACGCAAGATTTCTTCCTCCTCCCGCCCAGTGGATACTTGTATGCCTATCCCACCATGTTTCAAGAAGACGATCAAGCCAGTTTTGTGGCCAAAACGGAACATGTGGCGCACCTGTTGAATACATCGGGCACGGTCGATTGGGAGTGGCCCTTGGGGTGGAAAAAGGCCATTAGTCACTACTTTCCTCGTTATGCGGCCAAATCTATGGTCCGTGGATTCTTTGGAGTCAATGTTCCCTTTAATGCACCCAACTTTGAATTTGGACGGAATGAATTCTACAAACTGCTGCATCCAAAGGCAACCGAGGGTAGTAGCGATGATGGTGGAACTGTCGTTCTCTTCAGACCAAGGGAATGGCGCGGATCCAGTGGCAAAGGCGATGTTCCCTTTAGCAAGAAAAATAACCTCCTTCCCAAGGACATGGCAGCCGAGGTGAATGGGTATCCCAAAGGCACGGTTTGCTACATTTACCTGACATCGGATGGTGGCAACGATATTGATTCGTTATACAACATGGTACCGTTCTTGGATAGTCATGTCCAGGTAGTGAGCCATGAGACGGCTATTGACATGGCCCTGCAACGAGGGGCCAAGCGAGAGGAGACCCACCCGCAAAACAACGACCTTAGCGGAGGCGTGGAATCATTGGCGGAGGATTTCTAATCTGGATTGGTTCAAACCCAGATCATTAGGGAGAAAGCAAGAACTGATGGAACCGGCTGTGGTGCCTGCAATTAATTGAAGACGGATAGTCATGTCTGCATACACAAACTACGTATTGGATGCTTTTCGTGACTCGGAGCTTGGGATCAAGCGGTACGAGACATGAATGAGTAATCAAGTTAGGAGGCATCGGGAAATTGCTCACGCCGCTCCATGATTCTTGGCTCTCAGTCAGGTGACATCGTGAAGTGAATATCTACTGCACGAGGCTAGGCAACTCTTAACGATGCTAGCTACTACTCGAGTAGCTATTAATAGTAATCATACTTCCAGTTTCCGAGACCCACCTTTCGTACCGTTACCGGTGGCTGAGCTAGCCAAAATCTTCGACGATCTGCCTCTACGTTACCGTTCCACGATGTGAAGTGCTCAACGCTGACGTCATCTTCATTTCTTTGCCTCCACAAACCACAAAACAACATTCTCACTCTGACGACACACGCCACCATGGATAGAGGCCTTGCCGTTTCCGTGCTGTAAGATCATTGTTGAAGGGACAGAAGTAGTGATGGGTTCCATGTTGAGACTGTCGTTTGTGCTGTCGCTCCTCTCGCTGGTTGACGCCTTTGTGTCCAACAGATATGGCCACAGCTATCAAAATGCCGTTTCATTGAATGCTGGTCCCGTCGATGACGATGTCGGCCCCAAGGGAGCGTCCAGGCGACGAACCGAACGACGAATGCCCAGTAGGCCGGCAACGAGGGCTCGAAGACCGCGACCAGAACCAGCTGCTTATCCTGTGGCGACCAAGCGAGCACCTCATCAGCACGATCACACGAAAGCAGACGCTCGGCCGTTTATCGATGCCATTAAGGAAGTCCGAGTGCAAGATCCCAACACCAATGCTCCTGTCTATGATAGTGACTCCTTTGCCACTGTGGCGGGCCCTGTGATTGAACACGATCACGTCGAAACCAAATCTCTGGACGAGGTCTTTCCCACAGCGGGTGGCCAGTTTTGCGGCTTGTTTTCGAGCAATCAAGAATTCCGAAATGGGATTCGAAATGCCATGCGACAAGATATCTTTGATGCCACACCAGCGTATGCGGGCATGTCGGAAAAGGCACGGAGAATGTTGCTGTTACCCGATTCTTCCTTGCAAGGGTCGTGGCGCTGTCAGGGACGACCAGAATTGGAAGAAGGCCAGCTGCGCATGCCATTGCTGACCAAGGTGCTGAAAGAACATCTTGGAGACGGAGCACCCACGGGAGATGAGTTTATGGACACCATTGGTGATCTCTGTGGATCCAAACCTCAGACTCACTGGATCGACATTGTTGGCATCACTGACCGGAAAATAAGTCACTCGTGGCATCAAGATACCGGACGTTCCCCCAATGAGGATACCAAAACAGTGCTGTTTGGGTTTCCCATTGAAGATGATTATGTGGGTGGCGGCGTCTTTAGTCACTTGGTAAAACTGGAAAAGGAGCAGTGGGCTCAGGAGGAGCACCCTCCCAGTGAACCTGTACTGTTCGCGAGCTCGATTGACGACAATTACATTGTTCGACCACAATTTGCCAAAGGACAAGAGATCATTATTTACCGAGATGTGGATGTGCTACATTCCGCACCGGATGTTGCCTACAGATCCAGCGTAATGCGGTTCATGTAACTTAATTAATTGCGGTGTAGACAAGCAAGCCGCACAAAACTTTTGACTCTCTCGATCATTCGACAGCATAATCCTTAAAAATCAATGCCTGACAATTTTGCATGGTATTGCTGGGCGTTCTCATGAAGGTCTGGTTAGCCACAAACAAAGACTGACATGGTTGTGTTTTTAGTCTTTTGCTTAAAACGGTACGGTACACAATGGGGGTGGTGTGTTGAATCGTAATGCATGTACTAGCTAGTGTCTGACACCGTGCTTGGCTATAACCACACCTGATCTGCGTCTCTAGCTAGCAACTTACCGTACCGGTACCGGTACCGGTACCGGTACTGGGCGTGGTGGCAAAAGGTGGGCCCACCTTGGCCATACCGTACTGTGCAGCACAGTTATAGGATAGGACCGGAAAATACACTAATACTAGCTAGCTAGTAGCAGAGATTTGGGAGTCCAAGGTAGAGAGTCTTTAGAATATCCAATTCTATACTCTACGGTGAAGGTACCCCAAACATTATCCAGCCATGGCAAATAATTGATGATTTGGGAAAACCCTAAGGGAGATACTTTCTATGGTTGTCCGTTCGCAATAGACTCGCCCAGACCATTTGTCTTGATGCCGCGTAAATAGAGTTGCCGTGGCTCAATTGTCGTGTGATGGATCATTTGATGAATACCGCGATACACAATTGCCACGATTTTTTTTCCATCTCTCGCTTCTTCTAACCAACCAACCAACCACTAGATAGTATACCATTCATTCGATTATTTAAGCCTGAACACGCTCCAAAGCCTCGAACTGGACAATGCTGTTCCCTCGAACGACAATCTGCCCCAAGTACTCTTGCGATTCATTTTCCGTTTCTTCCAGCACGACATTGAGAAAGGCATCGTAGCCACGAAGTACACCAATTAATCTTCGATTGCCATTCAACAGAACCTTCAGTCGTTTGTCCTGTGAGAAGAAGAAAATCAATGAAGAGGGATTGGGTGAGAGACCAAATCACAAGCGGTGACCAAATCACTGACAAGCAGAGCCATGTCTACACGTACTCACCATGAAACGCTTGAGATCGGGTCCTTTCTGGAATTTAGACGTCGCCATTGTGTTTCTTTTAGTTCAGTTTAATTGAATACTGCTGCTGGTTCTACTAGCTAGTAGAGTCTCAACCTCTCTGTTGGTGTCGCTTTGCTGTTGGTGGTTTGAGACTGGACCATGGTCGACGGTTGACCGATGGTGGCGGCAGTGTTTTAGCTCCAACCCTAGCTAGTTACCGCAACAATTGAGTCATGAATGTGTTTGAACCCCATCATCGCGATCTTTCTTCCGCCAAGAATTTCTGCTGGCTATTGCCAAAACGTTCTCTACTGTCCTACTAATGGTGATGACAGTGATGACAGCCATAATAGATGGCAGCAGAACTCGAATCCTTCCTTGCATTGATCGACAAAGGCCATACTAGTACGCAAGGCAACCATGAAGTCTTCATTGTGGACAGCTAGTTTGATGTGGTTGGCATGTCACACAACGGAAGCGTTTCAACCCTGCAAGAGCAACTTGCCACTCCATAACACGAAGATCTTTGCCCAACAAGATCCAAAAGCCACCGAAGAAGAAGAGGAGGATCTCCTTGCCGAAGCCGATGCCCGTCTGAGTGATATTCTTCCTCCCGCTGTCAGCTTTTCTCGCAACTCCATTCTGTTCAGCGAGAAACCCGTCACGCAGCGCGACAATGATGTCTTGGCATTCTGGAGAGGCATGAAAGCGACTGTGCCGCCCGTGATCACGGGTGCTTGGCCATGGCGAGATCCCTATTTGGCCGATGAAAACCCCATGACGGCATTTTACAATATCCTCTTTGTGCGGCTACCCGTCATTGCCATGGCATTGGTGTATGCCAAGAATTTAAAGGAAGGACATCCACTCGTCATGGACTATGGGGATGGCCCATTTGAAGTCAGTCCAATTGCTGTTTTGGTGCTCGTGGCTATTATCCTGGCATGAAAACTACAGTAACTACAACGACATGAACTAATGAACCAGGATAGGACAGACAAGCAAACAATCCGACAATGGAATGAATCCATTCAAACAAACCAACAATAATGATATCAAAAGGGCTTTATAGAATAGATGAGATTGATGCCACAAAATGCCTCCAGATCGATCCGTTATTGTTACCCCAAGACCACCAAAGAAGTTCATCTTTCAAGACAGAAAGATAACAGAACACGAAACATGACTGGCCCCCAACAATCTACATGTCATCACACCAAGAGCACGTATCAGATGAGAAAATTTAGAACGAAACCACTATTTTAACGTGATGTATCTCGCATTTTGAATCAATGAATTTAACAACGAACCGTACTAGTATGTATTCAGCCAGGCTAACCAAGCATGGCATTGAAAAAGATCCCTGGCTAGGGGAGCGTGCTACCCAACCCGTAACAGCATGGCATAGAAAACATCCCCCAAGGGAGCATGCCAACCCTAGTCTTGTCTGTCGTGGATGTCGACCCTAGGTGAGCATGTCCGCGCAAGCTCCTGTTTTCCCATCGCAGCACACGGAGCAACAACCAGACTCACAGCTGACAAAAGGCCACACACCAGGATGAGTCGAGACTAGGCAATCCGCCGAAATATGGAGATTGGTGACGGTAGCAGCATCACTTCCGTTGAACTGCTGTCCTCGGTCCAAGACTCGGTCGCACAATCCTTCCGGAATGCTCCCCTCCAAGCGCGTGTGCTGCAGGTGCAACGTCTTGAGGTTGGTCAACAGACCCAGCTCGGTGGGCAGTTCTCCAGAAAGCAAGGAATTGTTTTGAAGACGCAACACGGAAAGACTGTTGGCAAGCTGGCCAATCTTTGTGCTGATGGTGCCACCAACCTTGCTTTGCCACAAATCCAAACGCTCCAAACCCGGGAGTTCATAGATCTCTTCAGGAATAGTCCCGTTGACATTTGTGTGCTGGAGTCGCAAGTGTCTCAAGGCGCCGATCCTTGCCACTTCGGAAGGAATAGGGCCGGAAAGCTTCGTCTTGTGTCCCCAAAACTCTTTCAGTTCAGACAATCTACCAAGCTCGGACGGAAGTGGGCCTGAGTGCGACAAAGCAACAACAAGTCAATGAGTCAGGAACTCGTGATCAAACAACTGGAAGCAAAAGTTCGACAATGATGACCTACCTTCCAGGGATGTCTTGGAGACCCTCAAGAAGGCTGCAATGGAAAAGCACATGAGCAGACGAGAAAACAGGTTAGCCCAGGGGTGGTGTTTCACAATCATTCTTCAGGTCCAAAGTGACTCACAGAGGGCGTCAAGATTGCCAACCTCTGTTGGAATCGTTCCAGTTATGCCTGGATTGTCAAAGAGGAAGAGACCTGCAGCAATATGGTTGGATGCGGCATTAGAAATCAGCTATCAACTACTCGTACACACAAGCAACCACATCTCTCCTTACCCATGAGCAAGTCTCCGCGGCGACTGGCGCCAAGCATTCCAATCTCAGTGGGCAGGGAACCAGTCAACTGGTTTGAGGCCAAGTTGAGACGTTCCAAAGCCTGAAACTGCATCCATTCCGGGGGAATGCTGCCGGAGATCTTGTTGTAGTGGAGTTGGATTTGTGTGACCTTTCCTTGCAACTCTACAGCAAGAGGCGCAGGAAGCGAGCCCGAGATCTCGTTGTTAACAAAGCTGAAGCTGAGAAGCCGAGGAAAGAGACCAAGCTCTTCTGGCAGGCTTCCAGAAAGGTTGTTGGCCTCTGATTTCGAAGACGTGGAATCCAAAAAGGCACGGGTGAGATGATATTAATCTGCCATTCGTTGCATTTTGCTTGGCTGGTGGGATAATAAATGGCTTACCCAGTATGATCTCCTTGACAATGTCGCCCTCCTCACAAATGATTCCAGCCCAATCGCACTCGTGGACTCGACTGAGCCAACGATTCGAAGGGACAACGTCAAATTCCAATTCAGGAAAAATCCACATGAGCCGCAAGAAGTCACACGAATGTGTTTCATTCTCCAGCTTGGGTGGATTGCAGGAACGCCATGGTCCGTGCTCAGAGGTCTGAAAGTAAAAGAGTGCGAGAGCGTATCGTTGGATCAAGTTCGTGGCGCTCCGAGGCAACTGAAGTGGGTCTTCATACAAAAGCCACTGTAAGGCTTTGTAGTGAGGAGTGCTGGCATCGTTAAGCTTGGAACTGCCCACCGATACAGCAATTTGCTCTTGGATACCCAAGGACTCGCGGTAGGTCGTTGGTGCGAATGTCACACCAGACTCTTGCAACCCATCAGGTCCTCCGTGGAGCCCCTCCTCGCTGTCTTGTTTTCCCCGGATCGAGGGAAGGACAACAGTGCCAAGGAGAATCCCAGCCACAAGTACGAGCATCAACGCGAACATGCCCAGAGCGTAATACCGGCTGGTCTTGTCGGACATCTTTACAACCGATATGGCTTCGGCCTGCTGCGGATCGTCTCCTCCAAGGCTTTCTTCAATGACAAGCGAAGCGACAGCTAGCCCGCCCTGAGAGATGTGCCCGTTTTCGTCGGGGCTGGCCGGAGTCCGACGCAGAATATTTTGGCCGAGTCCATCGTCTTCGTGGTCTTCACCGTACCGAGCAAGAGGAGGCTCCTCCGCCGCAGGATGCTTGGTGAGTCTTTCTTGCACGGGACGCCTGTGTTCCACCAATGGAGTTGTTCTCATCTTCTCATGGGGCTTGGAAACTTGGCTGCTGTCAAGACTAATCGCCTCCTCCCTGATCTTGCTGTGGCCTGACGTCTGGAGGTTGCTCCCCTCTTCCAAGACGGACCACTCGTACTCTTCACAGGAAGTGTCACGAGGCGTGGCATCCAAGTGACTCACCACTTCCTTCTCCTCAGGAATACCCTTGTCCCCGTCGTCTTCGCGAATCTTGCACCCTTGCGTTGCAGAAGGATACTGGCTCCCTTCTTCCCACAGTGACCATTCGTAGTCTCCGTAGGAGGCAACATCTGGCGGTGAGCCAGGGCTTCTCTCAAGCTGCTTCTCTTGGGGGTCGTCGTTTTCACTCTCATTGCTCGTGGTCATTCCATCGGCGGCAGGAGTGGGATAGCTTGCCTCCAAGTCTTCGTGATCGCGCAAGGACGGAGAACCGTCGTCGCTGGAGGTCCAATTGGCAAAGCTTCCAACGTTGGAAGTCGACTCGGACGTGAGGGAGAAGGTAAAGCTCTCGGCTTGTTGCTGTTCAATGCTCCGGAACAGAGAGCCTTGGTCATGGAAGGAACGGCTCGACTCTTGTGTGGTACTGGTAGGTGTTGATCGATGAGAGCAGGTCGTGACATTGTCGCCATCGCTCTGATTGCCTTTGGTTTTGGTTGTTTCCACTGTTGCTGTACTCTCGTCTCCATCGAGGACTTCTGGATCATCTTCTGTCAACATCTTCCCACAATCGTCAACTTCGCCATGGTAATACCTCGACGAATCCATCGCACGATGGTCATCGTCAGGCATTCCAGCCAAATCCTCTCGTCCCAAGAGGTAACTCATTCCTGGCAATCGGTACGGAGACAAACAAGGGAGAAAACGTAATAATCTATGGAGCTTGAAAGGAGAGGAAGAGGATTGACGATTAGGAAGTGGCTATTTCTCAGGAATGCACTGCAGGGAGCAACGATTTTGGGAGGGAAGCGGTCCGCTTCTGTTTCTCTTGGGTTCTTCACCTTGAAAGATTTAACACAAGAATCAAAGGCTTAAGAAAATTGCCAAAAAGACAATGAAGCAGGAGAAGCTGATTTTCGGAACATTAGATACGGGGGAAAGCTTGTTATGAAAGGGGGTTTTGAAAGGGGGTACCGTATTCAAAGGGAGAGGCAACGCAAAAGGGGACGTGAAGAATGGGAGGGGAGATGCTTGAAACAGGTTCTCTTGGCACTTGTCAGAAGCGATGTTGAAGGATCTCTCCAGGCTGACCATCTGGATCGTCAAAGGGTTCTTCATCTTTAGTAGAAGCTCTTGCAGCTGGTTCCCTCGTCAACAGCCACCACCAGATCCAGTCATTGGCTGCTCCCTCGATTCAAATGCCGTGCTTGCTGTGGCCTGCAGTAGCAATTCGCCTGTAGAAACCGGAACATTAGATATAGAGCAAGCAAACATGCAGTGCCAAGCGAAAGAGACTTGCTACCAGAGTAGTCGTAAATTGACACGTCCTCCATCCGAACACACATGATTGGGACGCAATGCCTTGAGCTCATAATTTCCCAAAAGTTTCAATAAAACCAGCCACAAACAGAAAACCAGCCACCATGATGAAGCTTCTCCTCGTTTCTCTCCTCGCCTTACTCTGGCTTGGCAACGTTATTGCCGATGATGCACTGACCCATCAGGCGACAACCGTTGGAAACGTCCAACAGCCCACACTGCTTCGGGCACATGGTAAGCGGGTGCCGATTTCGGACGATGACCTCACGCCAATTACCCCCGTCAGCACGGATGACGAGTCGTCAGATCCACAGACGGAATCCGGGGACGATGGTATCATCCCGCAACAACCATCAAGGGACAACTACAGTGGAGACGATGTCACTCCTGAGCATCCTTCAGAAGAAACAGACTACAGCGACGACGATACCGACGACATCATCCCAGAAGACGCCGAGGAAACGGATGGCGAGTTCAAGCCGAAACATGGTGCATCGGACCTCTACTTGTTCCTGTTTGGAGGGTGCGCCGTGGCGAGCTTCTTTGCAGCCATGGCCATGTGGACAGTGGCCTTTCACCCTCCAACGAGCAGCGAGTATCAACAAGTTCGATTCTACCACCGCCAAGGCTTTGTTGAGCACACGGCCGGCATTCTACGCCACTTGTTGGAATCAGCATCCGGTCGCAACGGGCCTCCTCCTCCTCGTCGATCGTCTTCTCCTCCCCCCGAAATGTTCTTTCCTCCAATCCCGCAACCAGATGGCGGCTTGGAATACCATGGCGACATGGCGGTTCCCTTGATGGAAGAGCCTCCCATGATGGAACTGGAGAGTTCATTTGACTTGTACCGCATTTCCTGAACATGATCCTTATTGCATAACCACCAACGATCGACATCTTCGATCTATACCTGTCCTACAATTCTTTTTGCATGTTAAACGAGACTATATCAAACTAACTATAAATACAAGTTTTGTTGTCGAGTTCTCTTGTGTACAATAGCTAGCTAGACTCGACTCCTTTGGCACCAAGCGTCGGATCTGTGTTGTCGTCGTCGTCGTCCATTACCCAACCATGGTCTCTTAGCAACTGTTTGGCTGTTTCATTCTGGCCAAGATGCTGCCAAAAGGAATCTTGCCGTCTGCCCCGAATGACTACCAGTCCCTTGTTGTTCTCTTTGACCCATTCCTGACTGGCCTTGGCGAGTACTGGCACTCCCTTTTGCATGGCACAGTCGCTACTGCAATAGTAGAGACTCTCGGTACTACTGTCACTCAAATTTTTGTCGACAGCAGAATCATTGGGTTGCAAAGACAACGAAAGAACACACGCCATATCGTTGGGGGCCTGGTTTCCACATCCATGGCATTGTTCCAACCAACAAACTGTGGAATCGATCAAGAGTGACGGTTCTTGGAGAGTTCCTTGTGGACTGCTTTTACTGTCTGATGGATCGTTGGTGGTGAATTGAAGTGTCGGTCGAAATGCAGCGTCGTCTTGGCTTGCAAATTTGAGGGGTGGAAGTGGACTCGACTCATCACTGGACAATCGTTTTCGCTTGCCTCTGTTAGATACCTTTTCGGCATGCATCAGGGTTGTTCTCCAAGGGGCAGCCGGTATGGCGCCTGTCGTTGCTTTGTCATTATTATTTGCGGCAATCTTTTGATAGAGTTCCTCTTCTGACAACTTGGCTCTGGCATCCCCTTGATCGAGATACCGACGCCCGAGTATCAAGGAAAGGCGTGATTTCGACGGGGATCGTTGAATGTATCCTGCCGAAATGAAACCACCAAAGTCATTGGTTCCCTTGGCTACCACCAATTGGTTGGCTCGGTCTTGTTCCACCAGACTATCTCTCAAAGACACTTTGGAAGCAATGATATGAGTGTGATCTTTGTGCCTGACCTTTTCCTTTTCGTCTCCCAAATCCCATCCCGATCCACCCGTCATATCCAGACAAGAGAGACTCTCTTTGGCGTTCTTCTTCTTCTTATCCTTCTTCTTGCTAGTAGGCACTGTGGAAACTTGAAACTTCATGTCCGATGCTCGAAAAGCTTGTGCATTGGGAGTCGCCGCCATTCGAGCATCCGGACATTCTTCACACCCCACCCACGATCCCGTCCACTGCAGCATGCCATCATCATCCTGATCATTGTTGATGATGATGATATCACCGCTCCAGACAAAGAGGGTATCTCTCCAAGTCCCCGTCATCTTCAAGCAATCAAGAAAGAAGACAAAGAGGCGAAGAACACACGACCCCAAAAGATATCGTATCCGTGATTCTTTTTGAATCCGTGACTTACTACAGTCAACGCTCGCTTATATTTATAATCTTGTATTTATTCGCTCTATAATATTTAAGAATACTCCAGTTCCCACATTTTTAACTCTAACCCTATTTTAGTACTAGAGCACGTACAATTCTACGGGAATAGTTAGGGTTAGGGATAAAATCAATATTTATTCTCGTTGTTATATTTACTGAATTCCTGAATCCCCCCCAGTATATATATCTGAATGTTGACTGTACGTCAACAGACGTGCTCCTCAATGCTCAATCCCCATTTCCCATTTTCTCATCAAGAAAAGGAAATACCCTTCACATCACTCGATCGATCCATCCTTTGCTGCTTCTTGTCGTCGTCTTCGTGTACTGTATTGCAACCATGGACGACGGTGAAACCGGTGGGGCGGCTGAATATGCCTCTGCCCGTAAGTTGGTCCTACGAGCCGCCAAACGCGAAACTGCCTTGACGGCGGTAGGGGATCCCAACAGTCCCTTTGGCGCTGATTTTTCCAAGATGCCGCTCAAGCCAGACCATTGCCAGCGTCCTTGTTGGAGTTGTCCCGACGGCACTATATACCTGGAAGCCTTTCACGATCTATACGCCAGTGCCTACGATTTTCTAGTGGCCATTGCCGAACCAGTGGCCCGTCCCGAATTCTTGCATCAGTACAAGCTCACGCCGTATTCCCTCTATGCCGCCGTGGCGACCAATATCGAAACGGAAGCCATTATCTCCGTCTTGGATCGCATGTCCAAAAACAAGCTACCCAAACAGGTCAAGGCATTCGTTCGAGATTGTACCCAAAAATACGGCAAGGCCAAACTGGTCCTCAAACACAACAAATTCTACGTCGAGTCGGAATTCCATACCGTCTGAGGGAATTGCTGAGGGATCCCGTCATTGCCAAGCGCGCGTCACGGAAGATGCCAATACCGAAGTAGATGAACATGGATTCGTCAAGCAAACCAAGGCCGAAGAAATGAAGGAAAATCTACATATTATAGAAGAACCAGAAGATGACAGTGACGAAGAGGAAGAGGAGGGGCAACAAGCCGGACAGAAAAAGGGCACCAAACAGGTTGTCTCCTTTCAAGTCAAGGGAGAATTGGTGGAACAGGTCAAACGACAAGCTATTGAACTGGATTATCCACTCATGGACGAATACGACTTTCGAAATGACAAGATTAATCCAGATGGTAAGTATAGATTTGTTGTTGCGATGTGAGTATAGTGTCAGCCTGACCATGCATGTTCTCACTGAACTGAACTCGATATTGTTGTCATGATAGTCCCCAAGATGGATTTGAAACCGCACACTCGCATTCGACGTTATCAGGAACGTGCATTGGCCAAGATGTTTGGTAATGGACGCGCCCGATCTGGCATTATTGTGCTGCCCTGTGGAGCCGGGAAGACACTGACCGGTGTCACGGCCGCACAGACCATCAAGAAGAGTGTCGTTTGTTTAGCCACCAACGCCGTGTCGGTGCTGCATGGAAATTCCAATTCCAGCTTGGACCAACATTCCTGACGCCAATATTGCGGTTTTCACATCCGACCGTAAAGACACATTCATCCCGAAGCCTGTGTGTTGGTCACTACCTACACCATGATTGCCTTTGCCGGAAAACGATCCGAAAAGGCCAGGAACCATGGATATCATTACCAGTCGGGAATGGGGGCTCTTGTTGATGGACGAAGTACACGTTGTACCCGCCAAAATGTTTCGTCGCGTTGTGGGATCCGTCAAGGCACATTGTCGATTGGGATTGACGGCCACCCTTGTGCGAGAAGATGACTTGATTAGCGATCTCAACTTTCTAATTGGTCCCAAACTCTACGAAGCCAATTGGATGGATCTTACCACGCAGGGTTACCTCGCCAACGTACAGTGCGTCGAAATTTGGTGTCCCATGACGGGACCGTTCATGAAGGAATACCTCATGGCATCGAATGCAAGACTCAAGCAGTTGTTGTACGTTATGAACCCCAGCAAGATTCGCGCCGTCCAATTCTTGGTCAAGTTTCACGAAGAACGTGGAGACAAGATCATTGTGTTTTCAGATCTTGTGTACTCCCTCAAGCTCTACGCAGAAATGCTTAAGAAACCACTCATCTATGGTGAAACCCCGGAACGAGAACGTGCCGCCATTTTGGGAACCTTTCGAGCCACCGACGCCATTCGAACAATCTGCATTTCCAAAGTCGGAGACACATCGATTGATTTGCCCGAAGCCAACGTAGTGGTGCAGGTGTCCAGCCATTTCGGATCACGACGACAAGAAGCCCAGCGATTGGGCCGTATTCTGCGACCAAAGTCGTACACGCAACAAGATGGGTCCAATCGAAATACCTTCAACGCCTTCTTCTATACACTCGTGAGCAGTGATACGCAGGAAATGTTCTATTCTGCCAAACGACAACAATTCTTGATCGATCAGGGATATACCTTCAAGGTGGTGACCAACCTCTGCGAAAAGGCTGATGCCCAGGCGCTTGAAAGCGGTTTCAATTTTTCCACACCAGAGCATGATCGCAAGCTTCTTCGGACGGTACTGACGGCCGAGACATCTCTCGAAAAGGAACAACGCGACGAAGACAATGCCATTCGCAAGAATAACCCCGATGGTGCGGCGTTGTCTGACGCCAAGGTCAAGAGGATTGCAGGGTCCATGGCAACACTAAGCGGTGGTAGTGGCATGCGCTATCGAGAGATCTCATCGGGATCTAAGAAGCATCCGTTGTTCCGGAAAAGACAGCGTCGTTAGATGTATCGCGTTGTCTGTTGCAACCTTGACCCCGGGTGCTGTTTCGATCTGGCTCCTGCTCGAAGCTACAAGATGGCGATTTTGTCACCCTAACATTGGTAGTGACAGAAATTGCTGCTTTATACAACAACTTCGATTATTTGTGACTGATTCTGATTAGCTACTTCCGTAACTTCATCGTACGGGTAGTAGGGACAAGGATTTTTGCGTTATGCTGACCACGTGGTTCTCTCCCCAAACTGCTTGCACTGCCTCGGCGATTTCCGCGTTGTTTGCGGGCGAGTGCGACGGGACGAACAACGAACGGCAGTACCCACAGCATGGATGCAAAGACGGATGAGCAGCGAGGGCACACCGGTACCGTAAAAGCATGCTTATACAATACAAGGAGATGCGTGGTGTTGAGGATAGTTTGAGGGTCAAACCATATCAGCTCCAAAAATCCATCCAATCAAACCACCCGGATTCTCCATCCAAGTCCTCATCATCTTCGTCCTCTAACTCCTCATCCCAACCGAAAAAACGCCTTACGTCTTCAGCTACTTCAGGGCCTGCAACTTTTACATGAAAAGCCATTGCCTTCCGGATTGATACTGAAGCTTGTCCTTCCTCTACCAATTTGGTTTCGACTGCGCTTCGTTCTTCTGGCTCTCCGGTGATCTCGATATCATCTCTGTATTCCTGAACAATGTAGTCGGTAACAAAGTCCACGAGCGTCTGCAACCACCCTGGGATGCCGTCATAGTCTGCACCAAGTCTTGAAAAGAGTAGGTTTTGTGGATTTGGGAATTGGGCAGAGTCAATGTTCATTTGATTCCCACACAGTGTCCCAATCAAATTGATGACACCATCGAATCCTGGACCCTCGACGTAAGCGTCCCCAGACAGCGAGTAGTTTCTCGCGCAATTTGTTCCGCTCTCCGTGCCATTGGGGGCGAAGTTCATATTGG